TCATTTACAATCAATTTACAAGCTGAGGTCAGATAAAATACAGGTGACAGAAAATTAATGAGAATACTGACGTGTCAACAAAATCTTAATTCAAATTTTGTAACTGATAACATAAGTGCAAAATATAAATAAGAAAATATTAATCTGTAGCTTCTAACTAATTTCAGGTTCTCAAAATATGGATGAAGGAAATATCTATCTAACGCAGTCTAACAAACGTCTAGTTCTCCATATATGAATAAAGGTCATTCATCTATTGCATCTAAGTAGTGTCAAGTTCTCAAAATATACATAAAGAAAAGATTTATCACAGGCAACGCAATTTATATCAATTATCAAAATTACATGAAAAATGCCAAGACTAAACAGAGTATAGTTTTATAATCATGGAAACAGAGGAACAAGATTGAAGCAAAGCATAATTATAGTACCAAGGCATAGATACAGTAGTTCTAAATCAAGATAAATATATCAAGATTGCAATTATTTGATCTTTATATACTCTTTGAAAGTTGATCTTTCCCCTTCCTTTTCTCTTCTCTTCTCTGTTTTTGCTCTTTATGATAAGATATTTGAACATTCTTTTGCAGATATGATAATCTTTACCTGCCAAATCCAAAATGGCAGCCTGGAAGCCATTTTGTTTCTACTGGTCAGTCCCAAAATCAAACGAGCACAAGGAGACACTAAAGGGAACATATGTATGAAATTTAAGAGATATCCATTCAGTACTTCTTACTTCATTGCCTTTTCTGCTCAGTACCAAAATCAAACAGGCACAACTAGGGATCAAGCGAAACATACACATACACTTTGAGAAAGATCTATGCTGCGGTTCTCAACAAATACCGATAACAAAAATTGTTTAGGATGGACGACGGACCATGGACGCAGGGCGATTTGAATAGCCAACCATCTGATAATGGTGGGCTTATGAAAGGTAGGATTCATTCTACGTTGATGAAAATCTAAATTTTGGAAGATTTTGAAACCATATTTTCATCTGCAAGGGGCGTAGCTGATCAGATTAAAGGAGTGGATTCATGGATAGCTGCAACTTGTAAATCAGTCTCCCACAACATCGGACCAGAGGTATGAAACGGTCACAACAACCACCAGTTATCATAACATGTTCAATATTCTGTCTTCAAGATACATTAATGTGAATTAATATATAGCGCTGGTCTTCATGATGAAGAGGGATTTTACACTCTGATCTCCGGAAAAGGTACTTAACAGCTGACCCTGGTGACCTGAAAAAAGGTCAATGTCGTTTACGTCAGGAAATTGTATTGCACTCCATCGCCGGTACCTACTGACCAAATATCAGTACCCTCTGTCTTATGAAGATGATTTATGAATTTTCTAAGAATAGTTGATATTTGGCCCCTGTGACATTAAAAATAAGTCCAGATCATTTATATGATTTAGCGTAGCTTAATTCCATCTCCCTTACCTATTTGTTATCAGTTGCTAGTTTCAAAGAACGAATAAATGATCCCTCACCTACACTATCAATTTAATGGCACTTTATTTCATGTAAGCACTAGGATACGTGTGATGTTCCTAAGCTTTTTATCATACATAATTGTGATCTTAGAGGTCAAGGCCAAATTGAATTAGAAAGATTGTCTAGCATATCTGGCCTTGAAAGTTCAATGTCCTTTATTTGAGGAATCTTTAAAGGTATTTGCTGATAAGGCTCTGTGCGTACGAGGGCTGATTGATAAGCTGTGATCCTCATATGTAAGGTTTTGATTTCTGGCAGACATATTGCATTATTATTTCAAATAATCCTTTAAGTATCTATGCACTTTTATCAGTGATGTTGAACAGCCTCAAAGACTCTTTTAAAGAAGTCCTTTTCTTGGCGTTCAAAAAGTCCTCGACTGCATGCATGCATCATCTGGCCATAACAGGGTACCAGATATGACCTTACTCAATTTTGGAAATAAATGAAAGTCTGATGGAGTGATGTCTGATCAATAAGGCAGATGTTCAATCAATTCAAAGCTTTAATTATTAATGGCAGCCATGGCAATGACAGATTTGTGAACAAGGGGCTTTGTCCTGATGGAACAACGTACATTTACCGAGTTTTCCGTGGCGCTGGAGTTTTCACTAAACTGCCTAAGAAATGATGCATAAGTGCCATTGATTGTTTGTCCCTTTTGCAGCTGATCTATCACCAGAATACCACCAGCATCCCAGAAAACAGAGGCCATAACCTTTCTAGCTGATGGAACAGTCTTTGCCTTATTTGGCGGTGTTGGACCATGTTGCGTCCATTGTTAAGACTGTTGTTTGGCCTTTGGGGTGAAATGATGGACCCATGTTTCATCCATAGTCACCAACCTCTGCAGAAGGTTAGCAGGAACTGCCACTAAAAGGTTCATATTAGCATGTGACAAAGTCTGCCTGGTGTGCTTCTGATCTACTGTACTCTTTCCTGGGAAATCCCAAATGTTCTGGATAAACGTCTTTGTGACTCGCCTGTCAGACAAACAATAACATGAACTTCATTGTCCACTTCTGGGGTCCCAAAAGTGATAGGCCGTCGTCCCCACGGCTTTGCCTGCTACACTTAAATACTGCAAACCACATTTTCACTGTAGCATATCAAGGGACATCATTCCCTAGTGTTGCCACTGTCAGTTTGGATGTCCTTGGGTGATAGAACTCTCTTATGCATATATTGAATCACGGTTTTTTCAGGGATTTTGTCCGTTTTGCAAAAGTCACTTGCCTTGTTTACGCTAAGAGTACTACCTCTTGACATAAACTGACCAAATGACACCAGTCTTGGGGCACACATCCTTAAATAGTCAGGAAATAGTAGAGCCGAAAAGGACATCCCTGCATAACATCTTCTTCAATACAAGGCTCATAACGTATCTATCAGTCCTCGAACTAGAATTTGATAAGATCTTTCAAGGATCTTAATGCAATATGCTCCCAATGCCTGAAATGTAAGATTGCCGTGGCAAAAGTTCAAAATATGAAGAGATTACCTAATATAAGGTATAATTATCATTTTTTCCAGAAATCTTTAGAAACGTCAGCCCCTGTTTTTCTTAAGATGCAGGATTCACTATATGGTCTGTTGCATTAAACTTGATACGAACATTATACTATAGTCTACTAGATGAAATGGAGTTGGAAACCTGTCTCTAAGGGACCCATCATTAAGGCAAGACTGACTGCAAACTCATGGAGCAGACAAAACCTTCTTTAGTTCATCATATACCAATGAACACCAAAATCTTATCAGATGTAGACCTTGGTAGTAAGATGCTATGCTGTAAAATATATAACAAACCTGTTCAGGGGTTCATGAGATAACTTGTACACATGGTTATCCTGCTCTGATACACTCAAGCATGGACAACCGATTACTATACCCTCACCTCCCCCCAACTTCACTAACTTTACAGGTGGGTGTTATATCTCCCTCCTCCCCTCAGTTTAGAGGTGGGTGTAATACCCCCTCCTCCCCTTACTTTATAGGTGGGTGTAATATCCCCCTCCTCTCCCTACTAAGAGGTTGGTGTAACATCTCCCTCCTCTCCTAACTTTACAGGTGGGTGTTATATCTCCCTCCTCCCCTCAGTTTAGAGGTGGGTGTAATACAGGTTTAGTTTAGGGTGGGTGTAATATCCCCCTCCTCTCCTAACTTTACAGGTGGGTGTTATATCTCCCTTCTCCCCTCAGTTTAGAGGTGGGTGTAATATCTCCCTCCTCTCCCTACTAAGAGGGTGTAATATCCCCCTCCTCTCCCTACTAAGAGGTTGGTGTAATATCTCCCTCCTCTCCCTACTAAGAGGTTGGTGTAATATCTCCCTCCTCTCCCTACTAAGAGGTTGGTGTAATATCCCCCTCCTCCCCCTACTAAGAGGTGGGTGTTATATCTCCCTCCTCCCCTCAGTTTAGAGGTGGGTGTAATATCTCCCTCCTCCCCTTACTCCCCCTCCTCTCCTAACTTTACAGGTGGGTGTTATATCTCCCTCCTCCCCTCAGTTTAGAGGTGGGTGTTATATCTCCCTCCTCCCCTCAGTTTAGAGATGGGTGTAATACCCGCTCCTCTCCTTACTAAGAGGTTGGTGTAATATCCCCCTCCTCTCCTAACTTTACAGGTGGGTGTTATATCTCCCTCCTCCCCTCAGTTTAGAGTTGGGTGTAATATCCCCTCCTCCCCTCAGTTTAGAGGAGGGTGTAATATCTCCCTCCTAAGAGGTGGGTGCAATATCCCCCTCCTCCCCCTACTTTAGAGGAGGGTGTAATATCTCCCTCCTCTCCCTACTAAGAGGTGGGTGAAATATCCCCCTTCTACCCTTACTTTAGAGGTGGGTGTAATATCCCCCTTCTACCCTTACTTTAGAGGAGGGTGTACTATCTCCCTCCTCTCCCTACTAAGAGGTGGGTGCAATATCCCCCTTCTACCCTTACTTTAGAGGTGGGTGCAATATCCCCCTACTTTAGAGGTGGGTGTAATATCCCCCTTCTACCCTTACTTTAGAGGAGGGTGTAATATCTCCCTCCTCTCCCTACTAAGAGGTGGGTGCAATATCCCCCTACTTTAGAGGTGGGTGTAATATCCCCTCCTCCCCTTACTTTAGAGGTGGGTGCAATATCCCCCTTCTACCCTTACTTTAGAGGAGGGTGTAATATCTCCCTCCTCTCCCTACTAAGATACTAAGAAGTGGGTGCAATATCCCCCTACTTTAGAGGTGGGTGTAATATCCCCTCCTCCCCTTACTTTAGAGGTGGGTGCAATATCCCCCTTCTACCCTTACTTTAGAGGAGGGTGTAATATCTCCCTCCTCTCCCTACTAAGAGGTGGGTGCAATATCCCCTCCTCCCCTTACTTTAGAGGTGGGTTTAATATTCCCTCCTCCCCATACTTTAGAGGTGGGTTTAATGATTCCTTCACTTAGGAATGATGGTAAATAAAAACAAAGACACTGGTGACAATTCATGCAATTTATATTAGACATGGATGATCAAGTGACACATAAGATATTACAACAGAAGTATACACAGTTGGACCTTATTTACATATAAATAAAACATGTATAAAACAAAAGGCCAAAATGGCCTCCATATATCTGCAAATAACAATAAACTCGAAATACTTCAAACTAAATGTACAGAACACAAGAAGTGTTGTGATATTTAATTCCAAAACTTGCTGATTTGAAACTTAACACATGCAGAACAGAAGCAGTGCCAATATCAACATTGTACATATTACAATGCTTATGGTGATCAATTGATGTTTTTTACATAAAGAATGATGGAAGCAAATATCTCAGCTAACAATGATCCTGGCACATAAAACAAGGTAAGATCACCTCGTACAATTAAAGCATTTCAAATAAATCTTGGTATACATGTTACAGAATCTGTCTCCCATCAGCTGTCAAACTTGTCAAAGTAATAACAATGTTACAGATACTATACGTGGACTGCCTTGGCCTTAAATGATCAACACTGTGAGTTGAAAACGATCACCAGATCCTGATAAAGAAACTTGCATGCAGAAATTGAAATTGCACAATGACCCTTGATTATTTATCATTACAAAATTATTCTTTTCATTTAATAAATAATTTACCAGGAAAAAAAAAAGCCCCCAGACATAGTATTCACTTTACATTCCCTAGATATTTACCAGGAGAAAGCCCTCTGACACAATATTCACTTCGCATTTCCTACTTACTTTACCAGGAGAAAGCCCCCTGACATAGTATTCACTTCGCATTTCCTATGTACTTTACCAGGAAAAAGCCCCCAGACATAGTATTCACTTCACATTTCCTAGATACTTAGGAGTAAACTCTCTGACACAGTATTTACTTTACATTTTCTAGGCAATTTACCAGGAGAATTTATCATCAAGTTCAGTATTTGAAAAAAGCATTAATTTAAAGTTTGCTTTGAGAAATCAGAACTGATGCAGGACTAGAATGTGAAGTGATACATCAATCAACAGTACAGGCATCAAATGATCACTCATGTTTTTCTTTGACCCAAGAAAGTAGCAATGCATTTCCACAAAAGAGGGATTTTAGAGAATCAAAAATTGATTCCCTTTCACCTATGTATGCATTACTATGAAATGGTACAGAATCCTGATACTTCTACAAAAGAAGAAGGATCTTAGATAATTTTCTCTCTTTCCCTTTCTGGGCCCTAAATTTGGGCAATATCCAATCATTCCAACTAGAGAAGTAGTATCTTAAAGAACTTTCCAACTTTTGGGCTCAGCCTCTAGGGGCGGAGAACCAATATTTATACAAACTTGGTTCCCTTCCCACCAAAGATGCTTCTGATAAAATTTGGTCAAGATCTAGTCAGTCATTCAAGACTAGTCTTGATTTTTATTAAAAAAATTGACGGATGCCTAATGCTGGACGAAAGACGCTGTGCCGTGGCATAAGCTCAAATGTCCTCTGGACTAGGTGAGCTAAAAAGTATGAACTACAGGGAAACTGGTTACCAATAAAAACTTGCAGCATTGAAATAAGAAAATACATGAATCTTGGGATAAAATGTGAGCTTTCTTCATAAAATCACCTTTTGACTGATGCAGTAATATGTATACAGATAATGGCAGGAACACACTGATAGCTACAGACTTATCCAGGATCACTAGGACATCCACTTTTCTGTCTTAATTCTAAATGCCTAGATATAGGAGGAGTCATTGAGACGCAAAATCTGTAACCAACTGTTATCTAGGACCTGTTTACATCTCCATGTGCCCATTCAGTCAAAAGGTGTTTACATCCGGTCGGTTTCTGTGATTATTAGTTACACAATATTTCTATACGACAAAGGACAAGTACACATGAACACTATACTAATATTTTACACCCTCATCTGCTGCCTTTCATATTATTCAACACAATGAATATAATCAGTTGACATTTACAATTACTTGGAAAATATCTTCTCTTTCGAAAGATTCTCAAGAAAATGCAGTAAAAATGGCACAATAATACTTGGATAAAAATCTGTTCCAATTTCAATAATAACATCAGTATGGCATACATCACAACAGTTCTGTAATCTCCAACATCTCGAAAACAATTTATAAAAACAGAACTTTTTTTATTAATTACTTCAAAGTAATCTATTTTCTAAAAAGTCAGTATATGTAGTCTGTTTTGGAAACTGTTATCATCAAAACTTTAGTGGCAATCCAGAACTCCACAATACTTTGTTCTGAATAGCAATTTTCTGGTTGGTCGCTCTCTGGATTGTCTGTCTTCCCATTTTGATCTGAGAATCTCTAGTTTATGCCAATTCATACTCAGGTAACCTATGTGGTACTAAACCAATGTTTCCAAACAAAATGTGAATAAATTAAAAACTACTCCAAATATTTTCTTTTGACCTCATTTGAGTTTTACCGTTTATGATATATATAAATCAAATTTAGCGACTCAAGTACTTATATTTTCTGAGAAACTGGTATAGAAGCAATTTGTTTAAAACACTGGTGTAGATGCTGACAGGAAAAAATCACCTATTTCTTGTTTCCACTTCTTTGTCAAAACAAGACAATAACAACAAGGGGATGGGACTTATTTGCAGTGAAAACTGTAATGAATTGTTAAGCAGACTGATCTAGGACACCATGTATTCATAAGTGCTACCCTCGTTTGTCAATACAATCTTGTACTGATGAGGTGCTAAACTTATGCAATAGTCTGAAGATGAGGTATCGGAATTCAGTTATCATTTTATTAACTGTTTCATTTTTGTATTAACCTTGTAACCACAATACAGATTACTTGGAAAGTATATTTCAGCGTAAGATTTCTTATCTAGGCCCAGGAAAATCCCAAGTCTAATAGAAGACATCACACTGCACAGTTAGGGACCCAGGGTTCTAAAGACCAGCAAGAAATTCTGATATTTCCCCTCTCACTTTACACAGAAAAATATCACAAACTTCATCTTCAGCACTACAAATTTGAGCACATGTAAAGACATGAGTTTAAGTTCAGTTTTTCTTATTTTTGTGTGTTTTTTCAGCTAGACAAAACCTCAAATTTTCTTTGGAATTTTAAGAAGCTTACTATGATAAGGAATTACCTGGTATCCAACTAAGGGGTTAAGTGTGATACTTTATATTTATAACCAGTTGTTGGTAAAGGAACATTATGTTGTCAGGGTATATAGTTACAGACACAGATTAAAAATTACATAAAATTATACCACATCCACATATAAAATGTACATACATGCGGAGAACAATCCATTCCCTGTAGCTAGGGGTAGAACGCCATCCCATTACATATCAAATTACATAAGCAGAGAGACATTCACATAGAGAAGTAGAGAGTCAAACTTCGCCTGTTTTCTATATATTTCTGTATTTACTTGTATCGTTTCTATCATTAACTTTCTCTGAGTGTTAATCTGTCTTCTTAAAACCACCATTTATCCTGATCAGTAATTAAATTTTTTTCCATTCCGTTATTTCCCAGTTTTCATATTTAGGATTTCCTATCCCATTCTCTGAAAAACGAAACTAAGATCCATCCATAATTCATATTCAGCAATGTACTTGATAACATTTTACTTAAGAACTGGAAAAATTGAAAATTACTTTCAAGGCACATAACTTAATGTATGGTGCCATAAAGATAACTTTTTTATGCAGATCTTTGCTTAAACTGTAAACTATATTTCACCTACCCAACACTCACCAAACCTTACAACCTTTATGTGTATCTTCATTTCAGTGATCAACAAATGAATTATGTCCAAAATCATGACCAAATAAGTACACTGTAGATGGAACATAGATGTTTTTCTTAAAATTTGCCAAAATTACAAATGCAAAAGTCATCAAATTGGGCCGTTTTTGCAAAAGGTGGATGAATCGGTTTCGGCAGTATAGTATTCCACGATGAAAACAAAAACAAAAACTGTACTGTATGTTTGAAATGTTACGTGTAAAGCTTAAATTGCAGTTTTGGAATTTTCAGTCACAAATAAAACAATGATAATGCGTTCTATTTAACCCACACGGTATATCATAAAATTTCCAGGAATATGTGTATGCACTGGCATATTCTATGCAGAAATTCTGAAAACTTCATATTCATTCAGTCAGTTTCTGCAAGGAATGACTGGTGCCCTAATACTGCACATGCCAAATATTCCACAGTCAAGTCTCGGTTTTGATCTAAGCCTAGCATTTCTCTTACAAATTCAGCCGGTCCAACCATTTCAACCACTTAAGCAAAAAGCGACCTTGGTAAAAATAACAGCATTTACCTAAACAAATAAAACAAAGAGCAGAAAACGTAAGCAAAATGCCATTGCATTTTCACCGAAGATTTTTTACAGGTCTTAAACAGAATGACCTATACTAATATGAAACTTGGTAAACATGAATTAGATTATCTGTTGTCAACACTGTGTTGAAGTAGGCACCATTTTCAAATTCATGAAGTACACAAACTTGTACAACCATAATAAAAAAGTGTAACACTTTCCAATACACAATCTGTCCTGGGCAACTGGTAACACCATTAGTATGTATGATTTCCATCAAAACACCATCAATCCTGTTTTATTTCTCAAACGAAGTGCTACAAATTCCTGATTGTGAACTTCCCACCAAAGTGTCATACGTTGTTTAAACTTTCCATCGAAGTGTCATACATTGTTTAAACTTTCCATCAAAGTGTCATACATTGTTTCACACTTTCCATCAAAGTGTCATTCATTGTTTCACACTTTCCATCGAAGTGTCATACATTGTTTAAACTTTCCATCGAAGTGTCATACATTGTTTACACTTTCCATAAAAATGTCATTCATTGTTTCACACTTTCCATCGAAGTGTCATTCATTGTTTCACACTTTCCATTAAAGTGTCATACATTGTTTAAACTTTCAACCAAAGTGTTAACCATTGTTTTACACTTTCCATTAAAGTGCTTTAATTGTTTAAACTTTCCATCGAAGTGTCATACATTGTTTACACTTTCCATTAATGTGTCATACATTGTTTAAACTTTCAACCAAAGTGTCATACATTGTTTCACACTTTCCATTGAAGTGTCATACATTGTTTAAACTTTCCATCGAAGTGTCATACATTGTTTGAACTTTCCATCGAAGTGTCATACATTGTTTGAACTTTCCATCGAAGTGTCATACATTGTTTGAACTTTCCATCGAAGTGTCATACATTGTTTGAACTTTCCATCGAAGTGTCATACATTGTTTGAACTTTCCATCGAAGTGTCATACATTGTTTAAACTTGCCATCAAGTGTCTTACATTGTTTACACTTCCCATTAAAGTGTCATACATTGTTTAAACTTTCCATCAAAGTATCATTCATTGTTTAAACTTTCCATTGAAGCATATATTTGCCTTGTTTAATCTATCCACTTTCTATTCCTGTCAAACTTAACAATATTGTGTCAGTATTTCAGACTAAATGTCTTTCAAAAACATCATCAGACCTGATTCAAGTTTGAAGCTGCATCTTGAGTCCTGCACTGCACTGCATTATCACGAGTCCCAGTTGAATTTACAATGCATCATGAGTCCTGACTGATTTTATACTGCATTACAAATCCTGGGCTGAACTTACACTGCAGTTTGATAGTTCCTGGTGGATATACCTATATCCATCCTTGTCTTTATTTTCACAGCATATTACTTGACCCAACTGTTGTGTTAAGATGGAAAGGACAAGGACCCTCTGTCCACTGAAACATTAGAATGCGAAAAATCACATCAAATCAGTTTTATAAATATCAATTTTGAAAATAAAGGAAATCTGGAGCAATTTTTGAAGTTGCAAAATAAAACCTGAATTACAACTGCACCTGCGTAAAATCAAAATATGTGATGAGAATGAATTCAGAAAGTTTTTTTTTGGCAAGGTAAAAGACTGACCAACTAATTAGTTCATAATTGCATGGAAAACAAAACAAGTTTTGGGAGCTAATTGTTAATAGGCTAGATTCAAATAACATAATTCACATGGAAAATTACAATACTATCCCAAAGCCAAAAACAAAAAGTTCTGAACAAAATACTACTTCAACAAATAGACAATCATTATCTCTCTGAGTATTGTCTGATATTTCACTCTCTCATCTTGCAAACAGGACAATGAAGATCAGCTGATTCAGTACATCAAACTTAAGTAAATTGATATAAGGCTGATGGATGTTAACCAATGCTACTGGTACTTATGTAATTTCCTAAATAAAATATTGTCCCCGAGACATTAAGTAAAAAGTAACAATGGCTTTGGAACTCTGAGACACAAATCATTCTGTCATAAGTAACCATTGTGTAAAGTTTGATAAAAAATCTCCACAAGGTACAAAGTTTAATAGCAAAATTTCCATCTATACCTCAAGATCAAATTATAAGAGGCCTTCTGAGAGAGATTAAAGATAAGTCATTAAGACCAGAACCATACCTGTATTAAGCCATGTTCTGAGAGTTGTGATGACTGAAAATGATCCTTTAACAGGGACTGTGAAAAGCTAGTGTGCATTTTAAAACCTTCAGCCTCATTGACTTTATCACCACAGAGACGGTACAAATCTGTAACAAAACAATGATCATGTGGATAATGTATGAAAATTTCATACTTAAGGTAGTGGAAGATTTTTCTGTCTCATCCGATCTGTCTGGTACCTTAACATAACAGCTAATGTCAAGTGATGTCATATCTTATTTTCTTTTAGACATTTAACAGAAAAAAGAGCTTATCAAGTAAAATGTAATGATAAAGAAAAGGGTAAAGAAAGTTTTATGCAATTTGATACAATTAGGTACAAGAAATAAGACTTGGTTACAGAATGTCAGCTTTAGTTGAGATAAATCAAACTTGACAACATCCAGGTAGGTAACATATTCCATTAATTCTACATATGTCTAGAGTGGAACATCTATTTACATTAACACAATCTTTTTTATCATATAACAGACCTGTTGTGACATTATCATGGAATAGCACTATTGTGATGTCATAAATATGATGCCATATGAGTGTCTCAGTATTAAAAACTTACTGGCCGCACCGAAATAAACACTTAAAATTAATTGACAAGTTTTCACTTATTTCACAGAAATAAAGAGTTATGTGATAAGAGAATCCCTGTAATATAGAATTTGTTAGCTTGACAGTCTATCCCAAATTCAAATCCTTTCGCAATTATATGCACAGAAATAAATCAATTCTCTGATAAGTCATCATTTGTGAATTTATGTCATTTCTCATGAAATCATGTATTCGCAAATATGTCTGAAAAGGTAAATTGGTGAAATAAGGTACTTGCAAAATCTAGGTGATTTACAGTAGTTGCCACTAAGTTTCTATACATTTTGTCAATTATTAAATAAGCGGATGAATAAGCAGGATAACAGTGTAATAGATCATGGACAACATCTGACAAGGGACAGATACCAACAAAATCGCTATATGAACAAGGAATCCTAATTAAATAGTGTCATCAACCTAACTAGGTTGTACTGGTTCTTTGACAGTAAATCTTAGACCCAAAAGTCATAATATACAAAAATGTGAAATCAGCAAGTGATATTGAAGTTTCCTTCAGTAATTTCTGATAGACTTTTATCAGTCCAATTAAAAGAGCTGATTGTCAGCCAGCTTGTTTCCAATCAGTCTCAAAATTCTAAATTTAAGATATACAACTGTGGAACATAAAGTGATATTTGAGAAAGATCTTAATGTTAGTTTTTTTGAGAAATAGATTAGAAATTGAGTTTTTATGACCCATGAGCAACCTACCTTTCAGGAGGGAGGAGGCCCAGAGTTGTACGTGAACATCAGGGATCTTTCCTGCAAGTTGCATGGCTGGTGTGACCATATTTAGAGCTTCCTACAGAAAAACATTTAAAATTCAGTTAAGTGATAAAAAGAAAAAAGTTACCTACATACATTTTTATCTTATTTCCTCCACATAACACACCATCAGCTAGTTTAGCAAATATACTTTTTGAAGGTTTCTTGGCCAAAGGATCACTTACGCTAGAGTAATAGACATCCCCTGTATATAATGAAACATAAGGTTTCCACAGCCTTATGATGTTCAAGACAATATATCAAGCTTACATCATATTATAACTAGTATTGAAGTAGTAACATCCACTGTATTTGACCGAGGGCACTTTCGCATAAGCAGTTCAGATAGTTGGACTGGTTGAACTGCAAGAACTGCAGAATATTGGCACATGCAGTTTAAGAGGTCCAGCCATACCTGTCCAAAACTAATATGTTGAATATCATTAGTTTTCAGAAGTTTAGCATAAAAAGTAGGATTGGCACACTCACATATTTCCAGATACATTGTGCTATAATGTATGAGAGATATAGATGGTATTTTAATTTTAGCTAATTGTTTTATGCTTGACAGGAAATTCTGCGAAACTGTGCAATTTGAGCTTTACTATATTGGGTCCAACATCCGGTACAAGTGAGTTCATGTACACTGGAATAATTCCAGACCACCTGAACTGTTTCAACTGGGTTACATGAATGTAGCCTGCAGCCTCTCTGCCCAAGGGAGAAAACTCCATTTGTTAAAAGCAATTTATCATTTTTTTTTCTAGACTAAATATGTAAGATTTTAAAGGATTCACTTTCATTCTCCATCCTGGCGCATCTGCCCCATTGCAGACAGAATGAAGCGAAGTCTACTTTCATACAGTGATTCCCTTTGGACTAATAATAGCCAGATAGATACAGATCTCTTCAGCTGTTCTAGTAGAATCATCAAATAATCAGTTTGATAACAGTGTGCTATTTGGTAAGATCACTTGGCCCATTAATTAGTAGCCATGTCAGCTAACAAGAACAATTTACAGATAACAAAGAAAAAGATTCAATTTTCAACTTGACAACTTCTATCATGTTTGATGATCTAATGTAAACATATTGTTTCCATAAACATTATTGCTACCTAGAGACAGGAAAGTAAATGCTAAGTATTGTCGCTTAGAGACTGAACAGTGAATGCTAATTATTGTTGCCTAGAGACTGAACAGTGAACACTAAGTATTGTTGCCTAGAGACTGAACAGTGAATACTAAGTATTGTTGCCTTGAGACTGAACAGTGAACACTTAAGTATTGTTGCCTAGAGACTGAACAGTGAATACTAAGTATTGTTGCCTAGAGACTGAACAGTGAATGCTAAGTATTGTTGCCTAGAGACTGAACAGTGAATACTAAGTATTGTTGCCTAGAGACTGGACAGTGAACACTAAGTATTGTTGCCCAGAGACTGGACAGTTGATACTAACAGTATTGTTGCCTAGAGACAGAAATATATGTCCGAGCAGCACCAGAGAGCACGATGTCAGTCGATTCAGGTCCTCTGCATTTGCCATTTTAAGAGTTTCTCTGAGGTAGCGCCTATAAAAGAAGTTGAAAGATTTCATTAAAGGTAAGCTTTTGACAATTGCAATTGGTTTCTATGCTTTGCACCAACTTTAAACTTCCCATTTCAATAGGAACAGGACAAAATATCAAATCTTCAATCTATGGACCAAAACTGAATAAAAAGACCCAGTTTTGATAAATACTAAGGCATATGATACAATATCAATATATATGTCTTCTTTGTCCAAATAAAACACGATATCAATAGCATACTCACTTGGCCTCACTGTACCGTGCCTGGAAGAAAGCCTGGAGGCCACGTACATAAAAGGAGGATGCCTTCAGACTGTGGGAGCTGTTAAAGAGCATAATGATATCACAATAACTTTTTTAAAAATATCTAATAATTATTTTGTTTTATTCAAGTGTCACATATTGATCTACATAAGATATATATCTCATTGTCCAACAGGGCTTCAAGAAGTAATGACTTTTCCTTATTAATTACAGACTATTTACATAGTACATATAAGCTTATTAATCTTGTCGTTAAAATATGAAATTTTCATTTCGATGTGTGTCATTGTGGGAGGCCATAATATGTTTGTGTAAGTTTATGATGGGAAGACACTTTGGGATATATACATCTCTATTGTCTTTTTATTTATTTGATAATTTCGTCTCAATGACTTAAAAATCACAGTGACCTATTAATTCTTAATGAATTTGAAAATTGCTATAAGACATGTAAATTAGCATTAATATGTGAAATTGATTCAGAACAGGACTGGACGGGACAGATGAACACTAGATACCCACCCATAAAATGGCAGTAATATACCAGCCTTAATACATGCTGAAGGTAGTATTACCACAATGGCTTTATACCTCTTTAAGCAGTCAAATGAATTCTTTTAGTTCTCAAACAAAATTTCAAAATAACTTTAAGACTTCAAATTGTTGTGGCAGAGCCATTTGTTTTACAAAAACATTCTTATATCATAGTAACCATTTTCTTCCTCTGTTATTTAAACTACGTAATGTTATTCCTACTATGAATCAGAATTTCTGATATGTAACCCTGCTAAGATACTAGTCGTTATATAATGCTCAGCTAGAGAGAACTCCTCTTTAGCTTGACCGTTTAAGTGTCACATAAGTAAACCAGAGGTCTTGTGGATGCAGGTAATAAATAATGACATCTGTTACAAGATGTTTTGTGTAAATCTACTTTAACTTACTGAGTTGACAATTTCTCAGGTTCAAGTTTTTCAAGAATGCTGACAAGTTCCCCCTGTCGGTTGGTTCTCAGGTATACTATTGCTAAATTGAGGTGAACAAAAGATTCCAACTCCATTGCTTTGGAAAACTGAAAAATAAAGACAGTGATAGGTTAACATTTCTACTGATAAACATTTCTACTGACTGGTAAACATTTCTACTGACAGGTAAACATTTCTACTGATAGGTAAACCTTTCTACTGACATGTAAACATTTCTACTGACAGGTAAACAGGTAAACATTTCTACTGACAGGTTAACATTTCTACTGACAGGTAAACATTTCTACTGACAGGTAAACATTTCTACTAATAGGTAAACATTTCTACTGATAGGTAAACATTTCTACTGACAAGTAAACATTTCTACTGATAGGTAAATGTTTCTACTGACAGGTAAACATTTCTACTGATAGGTAAATGTTTCTACTGACAGGTAAACATTTCTACTGACAGGTTAACATTTCTACTGATAGGTAAACATTTCTACTGACAGGTAAACATTTCTACAGATAAATAAACATTTCTACTGACAGGTAAACATTTCTACTGATAGGTAAATGTTTCTACTGACAGGTAAATGTTTCTACTGACAGGTAAACGCTTCTACTGACGGGTAAACATTTCTACTGACAGTTCTACTGACAGTTAAACATTTCTACTGACAGGTAAATGTTTCTACTGACGGGTAAACATTTCTACTGATAAACATTTCTACTGACGGGTAAACATTTCTACTGATAAACATTTCTACTGACGGGTAAACATTTCTACTGACAGTTAAGATTTCTACTGACAGGTAAACATTTCTACTGACAAGTAAACATTTCTACTGATAGGTAAACATTTCTACTGATAGGTAAAGATTTCTACTGATAGGTAAACATTTCTACTGATAGGTAAACAGGTAAACATTTCTACTGATAGGTAAACATTTCTACTGACAGGTAAACATTTCTACTGATAGGTAAACATTTCTACTGACAGGTAAACATTTCTACTGACAGGTAAACATTTCTACTGACAGGTAAACATTTCTACTGATAGGTAAACATTTCTACTGATAGGTAAACATTTCTACTGATAGGTAAATGTTTCTACTGACAGGTAAACATTTCTACTGATAGGTAAACATTTCTACTGACAGGTAAACATTTCTACTGATAGGTAAACATTTCTACTGACAGGTAAACATTTCTACTGACAGTTAAACATTTCTACTGACAAGTAAACATTTCTACTGACGGGTAAACATTTCTACTGATAGGTAAACATTTCTACTGACAGCTAAACATTTCTACTGATAGGTAAACATTTCTACTGACAAGTAAACATTTCTACTGATAGGTAAACATTTCTACTGACAGGTAAACATTTCTACTGATGGGTAAACATTTCTACTGACAAGTAAACATTTCTACTGATGGGTAAACATTTCTACTGATAGGTAAACATTTCTACTGACAGGTAAACATTTCTACTGATAGGTAAACATTTCTACTGATAGGTAAACATTTCTACTGATAGGTAAATGTTTCTACTGACAGGTAAACATTTCTACTGATAGGTAAACATTTCTACTGACAGTTAAACATTTCTACTGACAAGTAAACATTTCTACTGACGGGTAAACATTTCTACTGATGGGTAAACATTTCTACTGATAGGTAAACATTTCTACTGACAGTTAAACATTTCTACTGACAAGTAAACATTTCTACTGATGGGTAAACATTTCTACTGATAGGTAAAGATTTCTACTGATAGGTAAACATTTCTACTGATAGGTAAATGTTTCTACTGACAGGTAAACATTTCTACTGATAGGTAAAGATTTCTACTGATAGGTAAACATTTCTACTGATAGGTAAATGTTTCTAATATCAATAAAACATTATACAAGAATGATTGATATTTTTTACAGACAGAAACACATACATCAACAATTAAGTTAAGTTAGTATTTTTTTCATTATTTTTACACACTGTAGTACAATGGCATTAAATCCTGATCATTCATAAATAAAATAATACTAACATGAGTACAGGAAGCATGTCAGCAAAGTTAAGTGATCTGACAAAACAACATTTAGTGTTGATTTCTCATTTCATCAGTGACCATTTAAAGATGACATAAAACTTCAAGATGGGCAAACTTTTGAGTTTGGCATCTTTAATTTTCATAACTGGAAGTAAATATCAATAGCTATGACTATGATCATCTCTGATCAATATAACTCACCTTAATGGCAGTTTTGAACTGTGCCTCTGCAGCTTCCATACAGTTCATGGACATAGCATATAATCCCTGCAAAACCAAGTACAATACCTTCACATAAATCTACATCATGCTACTATAAACATATATTTAAGTACTAATTTCATTTCAGCACCATTCATGCCAAAGATATTACACTAAAATATTATTGTACTGTTCACAGTTCCTGTATGTCATTAATATACCAATTATTGTGAATGCACTAATTCATTGTTAAGTTTATTTGTTAAAAATTGATATCTGGCAAAAATCTGACAGACTAAAATAAGTATATTTACTGTAGTATTTTCACTATTTTTGTCCTGCAGTAAATTTCAACATAAAAGCAACTTGTTAACATATAAATGCTCCTACAGCGATATCTACACAGCATTATAAAGCTGAAATTTTCATGAAGTGAGCCTCTTTATCTATTAGGTAAAAGATGGATTTCAATCAACAACAAAAGGCAGAGAATAACAGACGTGAGTCTTAAGTGATATAATGTCATTAAGTGTTACAGTCAGTCATGGTTCACATAGACTTTCTAGATATCACTCTATTCAATCCTTCACACCCATGACTGCTACAAAATACAAATTAACTTTCCCCTTCTCCTATCCCTAGAACGATTGTACACCGGTATTTCGTGCTATGAGCTACAGTACAATCCACAACCCTCATGGATTAAAGACATATACCCCATATGTAGCCCTCACATAAAACTGATAGCAAAATATTTATCTTTTATTTTTACCAATACCCATCCTAAAAAAAAATAAAATAAAAACTGAACAAAGAAAAATGTGCTCTTTTAATCCTTTGCACACTTATACACACATCCAACCTTCCCTAATCCCCTACCCATGTAAGGATCAGTCAGTGTTGAAGTGGGTTAAAAGTGAAGAATTCAAGCCTTTTCAGGAACTGTGATCAAGATCTTTTTTAAATGTTTTTGTTTCTAAAGAAGGTTACAACTATAAATTTTAAATAATTTTAGGTTTGAGGTAATAATCAAAATTACTTTATGGATATTTCATGAAAACATATCAAAGGCATAAATCTGAAAAAATTCCAAATTTTTTTCTAGACAAGATCTGAAATTGGCAGGCTTTTCATATCGATATAAACCATGTCAGTTAACAACACTGCCAGTTATACTGTAAATAACAACAACATACAAGTTACTTTATAAATCTTGACCATGTCAATATTTGTTACGTTGAAATGACATCACTCGTACTTTTAAACAGGAAAAAAAGGTACTCACGGTACAGTTGACTTACCAACAGTGTATGGATCTGTGCAGAGTGAGTGCTAAAAAGTCGTGGCTGCTGCTGACACACATGACATGCTTGAAAAATCTGCGGAAAAATAAACATAATAGCCTTATTAGTATTGTTTTTACTTATAAGACATGTGGAGCTTCATCCTTTATCGCAGCCTCATTTTTTGTTATATTTATCAGTTGACAAATTTAATTAGCAATTTAGTTTCCTTTGGAATTATGATATAAGAGTCATTGACTAATCAGAGACAGTCGTGTATAAAAGAAATCCACAGGTCTCTGCGAGTTCTGAAGTCAAGACATGAGCTAACTTGTAGATCTTCTGTTTCTACTCACCTCTTGAATAGCCATGGTTTTATTGCCCATTATAAGTCGACACATTATTATGTGCTCCAACAACATGAGCTGAAACTGTGACAACAGTGGATGGGCATCTAACACTGTAAAATAAGTAAATCAGTTTACAACATAAAACATCAACGTGACAATTTACCAACTAATCACTGACCACTGTTGAGAGTGTTTTATTTTTACAAATAAAATCTCTGAACCTATATGACATCACGGATGACTGTCAGGTATATTCCTCCTTCTAATTTGAAGAGAGCATTAATGGCAGAGATTATCTAAGTGTACTGTTTTGACAAATCTTACAAAAACATGCCCCATCATCTAATTCAGCAGTTAATGATGTTTACTCAATTCTAGAATTAGTGCATCTCCTCATCTGGTTTTTAATAATTCAACAAATTAAGTTTTTCCTCAGTCACCTCAAAGGTTTAAACAATTTAGGCCCTTAGCATCATTGACGAGTCCTTGAAGGACGTAACAGTTGTATGATGTAGCATCACTGACAAGTTCTTGATGGACGTAACAGCTGTGTGATGTAGCATCACTGATGAGTCCTTGAAGGACATAACAGCTGCATGATGTACCATCACTGACGAGTCCTTGAAGAATGTAACAACTGTGGACTGCAGTTTAATGCATTATTTGGTTTTATTAGTATCTAATTGTAAATTTGTACTGAAAAGTGTTATTCACTTGTGTGTCTCTTACTTTTTAATTTTTCTATTTGCATAAGAGCTTTGTCTGTGTATTTTTGTGCCTTGTCCATGTATCCTGCCTGCATTGAGTGCATTACTGTTACCTGTAAAGGAAACCAATCAAATCAAAAGTGTTTAACAAGAAGATATTCATTATACATTAATCAAGTAAACACTTCACTTTCTGAATAAAGCATTCTTGGAAATTTCTGTTTGATGCACCCAATATAACCATTACAAAAATTACATGACACTAATTAAATCATCTATTTAGAGGATGTTGACCTTGAATTTTGTAATTAAAAATCTACGTCCAGCAAGAACATTCAAAACAAATCTCTACGGGAAAATTTGAATTAATTGACCAAAGGGAACATAACTAATGCATGAAAACATTTGACAATGAAACACAACTGATGAACAACTAAGACAGCTATACAGGTAACGCAAAATTCACAAGGATCAAAACGTTCTTTACAACATAGTTGTTCTGAGGTCTCAGCTGCTGTAGTTATCTACTTTAAGTTACATATGTTATAGGTAATGAAAACGAATAGCACTTACCAAGTATACCAGTACACACATATGTTCAATAGGAAGCCAGTGAAACATGTCTACAGGATTACTGGAGGTCGGTTCTGTGAACAAGAACATTGAACACTTAAAATATGATACAGAGTTAATATGGCAGAGATGTATTTTATTTGCCTCTTCCACAGGGATTCTGTCCGGTTCCATATGTCAACTGTCTATAAATACATTTTTGTAATGCTAGTACTTTAGTACTCTTTAATTTTCAAGTTTTCACATCAAAACTTCAACAATCTGAAATAAAACTATGAATAAGGGAAAACCTCACTAGATGGAAAAGTGGTGTAACCAGAAAATTATCATGACAAAACCATCACTTTAAACCAACCAAAGATTTACAGTGTACTACTTTGATCATTATAATAGAGACCAAACTTTTTCTAGTACATCATCCAACCATCCAAGAGATACAAGGACTCCTACCTTCATCTGTGTGTAACTGAGTTATTGTCTGTATGATTTGCTGGAGATTTTTTAAGGCTGGTTTCACACTCTTCACCTGAAATAAGCACCAATAATACTGCACATGTGAAGATTTACACTACTGATAGAACCAGTCACAAAATAGATCTGGTATATACACCTGTTGGGAAGATTAATTTTATTATATCTGCTTAACTCAAATAAATATATTTTATTCTGACCAGTATAGTATGGTATCATTATCTATTGTAAGAGCAAGGAATTTATTTTATTTTATTTTCGGTCTTGAAGACTAGAGAATTAAACTCAGCAGATGAAAGAATACCCTATAACACGAGCTGAACAAAATAAAATATGGTAGAAACAGGTACATAATACATCAAAGACTGGAAGTCAAAATTGATGGCTGAAACTGTTCAGTCAGACTGTTGTAAAGGATGTAATGTGATTTAATCATAGAGATGCCTAAAACTTTCAGAAATAAGAGTGTAGCTTTATCATATATGTTGCTAGGACCAAGATAGAATGAACAAAGTTCTTATGATTACATGAACAAGTAAGCTTTGTTAAAGTTTACCTGGCCAGCCATGAGATAATGACACACTTGCAGGACGAGGAAAAACACCTTTAACGACTCTTTCTGAACAGGTGGACCATTGTATGTTTCTATCATCTGACCAGCAGTACTCAGCGTGCCATGGACATCTGTTGTCTTCTTGTCTATCAGGTACAGCTACAGGTAATTCATAGATAATTAGGTACACACAGGTAAATCATTGATGGTAAGATATAGTTACAGGTAAATTAACAGATAATTAGGTACATACAGGTAAATCCTTGAGGGTTAAGATATATGGACAGGCAATTAGCAGATAATCAGGTAAATACAGGTAAATCATTGATGGTAAGATATAGTTACAGGTAAATTCACATATAATCAGGTAGATACAGGTAAATCATTGATGGCTAGATATATGGACAGGTAATTAGCAGATAATCAGGTAAATACAGGTATATCATTGATGGTAAGATATAGTCACATCATAGAGACATCCATATATATATGACAATGACACATTAAAAATAAACCATCTGCAATTCCTCAATTACAAGACAATTAAATCTGAATTTTCTGACATAATAAATGAGTTTTAATCTGGAACTTACCATGCCTTTGCTGAGAACAAATAGGAGCTTGGTATACTCTGAGTGAGCTGTGTCTGAGAACTCGGCACCCGCTGATAGTAACTGACATGCTGTGACAAAATCTTTTTCTATTGAATGGATTTGCTGAAAATAACATATATGTCCAGTGAGGTCTACAAACAACACCTGCAACCAATCTATCCAATATTTTTGGCATGTCTATGGATACTTATGTTTTCAGGTCTAATGATATGTGATTTCAACTAATACTGTGAAAGTACTATAGTTATCCTAACACTCTCGAGTATATCATAATAATAATAAGCCATACATAAGGAATGTATCACAGATAAATTATTATAAGGCGAGTAGTAACTTATTCTGAAAATGGTATTTAGTAACATATTCAATTAAGAAATTATCAGGTTCTATAATCAATATCACCAACATGTTAAAGACTTTAATGTCTGCACTGACTGTATGCTGATTACTTACTGCAAGCTGAAATAGAAGTCTACAGTGCCAATATGGTGCCTGCTGGGATATTTCTACAGCTTTTACCAAGATCTGTCTCGCATGCTGAAGTTGATTCTGAAGAAATAAATAGATTTTATTTAAACACTTGAAGTACTACAAATGTTGAATCATTCATGTAAAGCTCAGTCACTATGATACAAATGTAACAGCTTGTGTCTATTCAGTATTAGATACTGGGCACCCTAACAAATAGATACTGGACACCCTAACAAATAGATACTGGGCACCCTAACAAATAGATACTGGGCACCCTAACAAATATCATTTTAGTGTATAGCTATTAGGGAAAGTAGATGAAGTAACTAACAAGAAACTTGAGATATACACAAAAACACTGGCAAATTATCGAAAAACTCAATCATAATAATTATACACATTTAGTGCAAAAATGTATGCAAATCTAAAGCAACATTGCTAATTTTTCAGGCATTCATGATGTCATAAATGACAAGTCTGGTATCATAGATGATATTAAGAGCAACACCGGTAATACCTGTATCACAAATTAGAGACCTGACAGATAAATGAGCATCCAAGCACAAATACCAATAAATAACAGTCAGACACTAAAACAAGTATTGAAAATTATGAAATATGTAGTGCATTAATCATACCTGATCCTGAAACATCTGTGCTAACACACAAGCAGCTTCAAATTTGACATCATCACTTGCTGGCATCTTTTTATTATGTTAAGGAATCAATTTATAGTAACACTTTTCATAAAAACATACTAACAATTTTCTATAGATTAATCATTTAACTACAAATCATGTAAGTCAGATGGAGTTATTTCCCTTCCACTGTCAACATAGTGTCCATTTTCAGGTGCTTTCATTGGATCAGCATGAACCTCTATGTTTTACATGTATCATTCAAAAGTGTTGAAACTATGCACATTACTGTCTAAATTTTACCTCTCAGCTGAACTACAAGAATCAAAGAAATCAAGTTTTTCTAAAAAAAAAAAAAAGACAGATTAAATTGATGTGTTGGGTTTGGATTTGTGGTTTTCTGAACTACATGTATATGATCAAGCAGAATTCTTCAAAAAGGAGACCGCTATATCTTGTTTGACAGAGAGCTGGATTTTTAATCCTCAGGTGAAGCTCCACAGTGTGTGGTGTAACAAAGAATCCCTACATGAGGAGGCTTTTTTTCTCTCTCGTGTAACTAAGTAGTGGACTGTCAAATACAGTCTTGGTTGTATCCTTGGGCAAGAAAATTTACCCCATTTACTCTGGATGGCATGAAAATAGTCTCCTGTAACTTATTGTTCAGTGAGGTAGCCACCAGGTAGAACAAAGAGACAATGTCTCAAAATGACCCTGTGTTGACAGAGTGATAAACCCATGGCCAGCAAACAAACAAAATAGAAATTTACAGCACAATCATTACTATACAATAGAGACAAATACAATGCAGAAAGGGAGACTTCAGATGAGAGAGGCAAATTTTATAAGATGTGTTTTGGTACTGTAACCTTGGAGCCCATGTAGGGATCCGGGAATGGTACTTAGCCATGCCCCACCAGCATCACTGTAACCCCTGGAAACTCAAGGACAAGCTAGTTCCTGGTGGGGGAGTATGTAACCCTGGTAAAATACTAACTACAATATACCACTCGGCTAGAGAGAACTTCTCTTTAGCTCGATTGGTTGAGCATCAGACTAGTAAGCAAGGGGTCACAGGTTCAATTCCTAGCTGAGGCATTGAAATAAGTAATGACTTCTGTTACAGTACCATCAAATAAACATATATGTGTTATATAAATAAATACTCATGATCGACAATATATATTTCCATGGGTTCTTTTCAACATTATTGCTGAAATTAATGGGGCCCAATCTGTAAAATGTAAGTATGTTCAGAAATTCTATGAGTACCATCAACATTCTATGTGTACAGACCAAGGAACTGGCACACAGATTTATCACTGAATACTTCATGAATGCATATGAATGTCACAATGATACATGATTAAAAGTGCTCGTGTGAGTGTAGGTTAGTACACAAATTAATATCTGACCTGGACAACAACTGCTATCAGGTGACAATTTGGGAATCAACATGGCCTTTGTAATAATTGTATAGGTAAGCAAATTTAGTGCGCACACACCATTGTGACATTGTCATATGGTATCTAAATTACTCAATTATTTCTAGAATGTCAGAATTTTTCTGATTTGTCTACAAATAAAATTATAATATCCTTCGTTCAAACAATGGTAAATATCAACAAAGTCTCCATACAAAAATATCTATGTTCAGAAACTGTTAAATTCTTTTTAGGTTTTGCCTTTTTAATACCCATGTATGTATATGTGTACAATTAATTGTACAAGGGTTTACAATGACCATATACTAGAGAACTGAGACAAGTGTTGGAAATTGATTTTCTTTTTCCTTAATGTTAACCTTATACAATAGGATAGGAACATTTTGATCAATTATCAATCCCTTTTCCATATTAGTCATATTGTAAGGGTTTCACATTAAAAAATGATTCTCCACTTGATGTGAGAAACTATTTCTATATAACATATATTCTCAACTTTGAGTTTAACCAAAGTCCATGCATCAGTTCATACGGATTACAAATATCAATAAAAAAATCACACAATTTCAACCAATTAATCTTTCATTTTTCTGAAATATTATGAATAACTTAATTGGAATCTGTTGAGTATGTTCAGGTTATCATTAACTGACTGCAATAAAAAATTGAATAAGACTGTTTCACTAAGTCAATTGGCAGGATGTAAGACAGGGAAGATGTTGACAGGTTTGATCCCCACATGCTTTTATACCAGAAAATGGACACTAAATTAGTTGTTGAGCTGTACAGAATGTTGACATGGGCATGTTGTAGCAATCAACAAAAACGAGAATCCTTATCATATATGTATCAATGATCAATTGATTAAAAAGTACACGACCGAGCCATATACTGGATCAACCAGAAATAACGTTAGGTTATTTCCCCTTGACCAAATGTCTTCAAAACAAAACAAAATATCTCTCCCATTTTCGCTTAATTCACGGTCGTTCCTCGGATTTCTCTCTGCGATCGTTTAGCTATAGGTGTACGAGTTTTGCTCCTCTCCGGTTGCCGTGCCTTTGTGTTAGATCGGGTCAGCTGCTGACAATCAAGATAAATCCAGTTTCATTGTTGTATTGAACTCAAGTCACAAAAGGATACAGAAACTGACAGTGCCCACTGCAAGTAGAAACAGACAAGTAAGGAGAAATCATCCAATACCAAACGATGCAACGATAACGATCGATGAAATAGAAACTGATACAATTGTTATACAACTCTGTGCTACTTACTGCTTGTTCTAAATGCGTCCTGGCCAAGTCGGTGTTTTTTGTATGGGCTAACAGAATATTACCCAATTGCAGGTGAGTTCTGGCTTCGATTTTGGGTGGCGGTTTGAAGTTGAACATGGACTGAAGGCAGTGTATACATAGTCTGATATTTGGAGGATTTGAAGTCCTAAACGTCTCTGCTAATCCTAGTAATGAAGCATACCAAGGATCAAACACTGTCGATCCGGTCGCCATTTTGATCAGTTCCCGCTGCCAATCCGCGAAGACGGTCATACCGCACAAAATGTTTACCTTTCGTTAAAAATTTGCTGATGAACCATGTTTTGATAAAAAGAAATACTATTTTAGTGATTTTATTTTTTTTGATGAAGTCACTCTCAAAGTATTTGATTACTCGGGTTCACAAAAAATATCTGAAGCTGTTAACCCTGTGTATAAGTACGCAATCGTTTTTATAATGTCATACGAGGATGGTGTTAGAGACGTAAACCTTTCCTTACAACGGGCACCTGCTAAGTCTTAATGTAGACGCTTTTATTTAGTAGCCTTCCGTCCTGAACTTCATATTTAGTACAGAGAAATCTTGATAGTATCTACTTTTAAAATCACCTTGTACATTATAATATTTCTTTTTCCAATTGGGATTTATTCTAACCTAGGTCACCTCCCTATCCAGATTTTGACAGTCCTGTTGATCACTACACGCATCGTAGGTTTCAAAATTCAGTAAGGCATCACGGACTTGCAAATTAATTCAATACTTGGTACCTCAATATCTTATTCTAAATTTTATCAAAAGATACTATTCACATATGTGTCTTTCGTACAGTCTTCGAGTTTGCAAGTGGTAGAAAACAAAAGCATGGAGCTAGTGCACCTACGCCTCTAGATTTTGACATTTCTGTCGATCACTTTGGACTTTCCTCATTTACCTTCTAGATTTAACAAATCAAATTTCAGCTCTTATCATCAGTGTTTAAAATATGTCATAATATATTTCTATGCCTCCGCTAGGATTCGAACTAAGGACCTATGGATTACTAGTCTGACGCTCAATTGAACCATCCAAAGACAAGTTCTTTGTAGTTGAATGGTAAAAACCTAATGACGGTTATATTGCATTCTAATTATTTTGCACGACTGTATAGAATCCTAACACTTGTATTTAAAGGTGCTATTCATTTAGGTCTTTTGTACACATGAACGTTCCTACATCGATAGTACCACAGAGGGATTTTTATCGTGCGAGGTGGGCATTCTAACACGGGGAGGCATTTTAAGTCCCATCCTGGAGTAGTGGTTAGTATAGTGCTTGTGTTATTATTTCCTTTTTGGTGTTCATACATAGGTCATCACTCCATAAATTTCTGTTGCTCTGTGAATGGTTAAAAATAACAGTCCTTTTTTTCAATAAAACCACACTGCACGACTTCCGATGATGAATCATTTGAAAGTGTAATGGGAGGATGTTTTCGTTAATTAAGACAAATTTAGGTATGACAGATGGAGTAAAAAAAGGAAGGCAACCTCTAGTGCCGTTGAGAAGAGGGAAAGGATGGGTCTCCCTGATTCAGCGCCTAGTCGTTTCTAGTAATACATGTAGAATAAAAGCGAGAGTTTGGTGGATACAGATGTGACATATGATACAGGGCGCGGGGATTCGATGTGACACATGTTAGATAGGACGGGAGATGAATGGGACACTCGTTATAGGACAGGAGGTGAATATGACACACGTTATAGGACGGGAGGTGGATGTGACACACGTTATAGAACAGGAGGTGGATGTGACCATGTTATAGGACTGGAGGTGTATGTGACAAATGTTATAGGACTGGAAGTGGATGTGACACATGTTATAGAACAAGAGGTGGATGTGACACACGTTATAGGACGGAAGGTAGGTGTGACACATGTTATAGTACAGGAGGTGGATGTGACACACGTTATAGGACGGAAGGTGGATGTGACACACGTTATAGGACAAGAGGTGGATGTGACACACGTTATAGGACGGAAGGTGAATGTGACACACGTTATAGGACGGAAGGTAGATGTGACACACGTTATAGGACGGGAGGTGGATGTGACACACGTTATAGGACGGGAGGTAGATGTGACACACGTTATAGGATGGGAGGTGGATGTGACACACGTTACAGGACGGAAGGTAGATGTGACACACGTTATAGGACGGGAGGTGGATGTGACACACGTTACAGGACGGAAGGTAGATGTGACACACGTTATAGGACGGGAGGTGGATGTGACACACGTTATAGGACGGAAGGTGGATGTGACACGTTATAAGATGGGTGAAGGATGTGACACATGTTGGAAAAGACAGGAGAAAGGTTCGACACAAATAAGAGAGGGCGGGATATGGATGTGACACACGTTAGAGAGGGAGGGGGGAGACAGATCTTCCGAATTTCCTGTTTGTAGTTGTGATGAAGTTTTGGTGTAACCAGAGACGTATCTATCACATATATATATATGCTATATACGTCTCTGGTGTAACAGAATCAAATTGGCATACGATCAAACCTGCCTTAGCGCGATAACACTAGTTTTTATTTGCGAGAAATGTTTACCTTCAAAGGAATGCATAACATTACTATATTATTTGTTGTTATTATTTGGTAAGAATGTGAACTCAGACTGGCCCACATTCTATTGCCGGAGGACGAAAAATGTACTGGATTTACAGACTTACTACGTACCGACCTGGTTTTGTCAATGCTTAGGAGTTCCATTTTTATTTGTTTGCACACAATATGCCAACATTTTCCAGAGATTTCGGCAACGAAGTTAACATATTAGTATAATCTGCGTGCTTACATATAATTTTACTGAGGAAACGCTTCACAAGGGGAAATAACTCTTGTAGATATGAGAAATGAGCTGTGTTAGCCTAGTTAGAAGGCTCGAGTAGACCGAGAAGAACGTACAAGATGACGGCTGCACATTACCTGTTTGTTGCAGTCGCGCATATGATTGCAGTTATTATCGGACTCTTGTGCGCTCTGTCGTTGTTATGGAGGTGCATTCGCCATCCGTTTCTGTTTTTTAAAGAGGAGACAAACAAGAAAAAGAGAGACGTTATGCCAGCATGTCTTAACGATCCGACTCTTGGAACTCACGGGTTTATCCATTTGGAGGTAGGTTTGAAATGAAAGTTGGACAATATATGTTGTAGTAATTATATCAAAAAGACATGCCAATTCTTATGTACAAAGTTTATGTGTTGTTGTCTTCTTCACGCACAGATACTTTATATGTTGTGATGACATACATTTTGTGATAAATTTGCATCGTGGACTTTGATACTACCTGGCCATGGTGGTGCACCGGTACTGTACAGCATGGCTTGGTTGTGTAAAGTACTCTTTGATGTTCATGTTTCTTTACAAGTTTTGATATAGGATAACTGTATGTAAATGAGATATTTTAAGTTCGTCTTTAAAAAAATAATGGTGTGCAATATAATTTATTTACATTCAATCTTTTTTGTAACTTTTTTTTTTTTTTTTTAAATTGATTATACCTGAACAAGGAACAAGGAACAATGTACGTTATACATCATTGACCGCACTATTTTGGTTTACATTATTAAAGCATGGCAGATTGTTTTCTGAAATGAATTGATTACTTCAGCAAGCTGTGTGGGAGTGAATATTATTTAAACAACCATTGAATCGCCATGTAAAAGCCTAAGCTAGGGCTGGGAGCTATCAGTTATACAATTTTATCTCTACTTCTTTGAGCTTTATAACTTGTCAATTCAACATGGGAGTGTCTGATAGACTTATGGAAAATTAAGGATATACCACACACATCATTTCATTTAACTTACTGCCTCTATTATATCAAATACGGTAAACGAGTTGAAGTATCATGGACTTAAGAATCAGGGAAAAACCTTATATAACTACCACATGTAACTGATGATATCTGTACAGTTTACAAGTGTTTCCTGTAATAGACAGTTTATTGACAACGGTCAACATTCCTTCTGAACATAGTCTAGTTCTCAAGGTAAAAACGGAACTGATGAATAAGTGCGGAAAAGTCACAAATTAGACCAGGGGGAACGATAAAATCCAGAGATATTTAAAAAAAATCTTTGTTGATGGAACCCTCAAGACATTCTTCACTTTTCGTCCACTGACTTACAAATTTGTAATGATGATGACTTAAACTGAATATTCGGTCTTTTACAACCTTATCTGTTGTTTCTATTGCATGTATTATGTGTGTTTGATTAGTATTTACAAATTACAAATGATTAATTACAGTCAAAATTGACATTCGCCACGGTCATTTGTGACTTTCCCCACGGTTATTTGTGACTTTCCCCACGGTTATTTGTGACTTTCCACACGGTTATTTGTGACTTTCTGCACGCTTATTTGTGACTTTCCGCACAGTTATTTGTGACTTTCCCGACGGTTATTTGTGACTTTCCCCGCGGTTATTTGTGACTTTCGCCACGGTTATTTGTGACTTTCCCGGCGGTTATTTGTGACTTTCCCCACGGTTATTTGTGACTTTCGCCACAGTTATTTGTGACTTTCCGCGCAGTTATTTGTGACTTTCGCCACAGTTATTTGTGACTTTCCGCGCGGTTATTTGTGACTTTCCGCGCAGTTATTTGTGACTTTCCCGGCGGTTATTTGTAACTTTCCCCGCGGTTATTTGTGACTTTCGCCACAGTTATTTGTGACTTTCGCCACAGTTATTTGTGACTTTCCCCATGGTTATTTGTGACTTTTCCCAACTTACTTGATACTTCTGTTTACACCCGGTCTTGTAGATCACCACATATTGCAATGTTGCACTGAAAGAAATACTATCTCACAGGTGAAGATTACAATCCATTAACCCAGGCTGCAATATTTCACCAATCAGAAGCATTGACAACACATATAAAATATTGACTTGTATTCAGGTGATTATGAGAATTTTTCAACCTTTAAATGTGATATTTTCATTTGGACTTTTTCCAATTAATTTATATATATCAATTATATTTTGATTGAATTCTGATATCACTAAACAACGGCACGGCTGACGGGAGTTCTGAGGGGTCAGACCATTGTGATGATTATGCAAGATCAAAGGCAAATACAGATTGCCAGACATTTTGGTGTCCATATTTGCACTATAGAACATCTTGTTAGACGTCTAATTGAAGCCGGAGGGGGCAGGGGGGTGTTGCAGACAGTCCTAGGTCTCGGCATCTGGGTGTGATCGTGACGTCACAATGTCAGGACAGGTGTATTCGTCTCGTTCATTTGCGCAGTCGACACCTTGCTGCCAATGAATCTGCCCTTCATACCATAGGTACTCATAACCATCCTATCCATACAAAAACTGTAAGGAAATGATTATGGGAAGTTGGTACGTGGGCATGTCGACCGTTTGTAGGTCTGCCTCTAACCGCTGCTTGTCGCCAGCGTCGTATGTCTTTGGTGGCAGCACATGCTCCAAGAATATTCCAATTGAGGCAGTGGAGGTGGGTCTTAGTTCACCCTGTTTTGAGCAGACGGTCGACGTTGTGTATACTGACATCATGGAGGACATTTGCCAACTGCTGCATAATAGAGACAGATAGGTTTGGGGGTGGATCGGTTATGGTGTGCGGAGGAATCTCACATGGAGTTAAGTCACCACTGGTTTCGGTAGCGGGTAATTTAACTGTCGCCAGGTATAGAAATGAAATCCTCCGACACCATGTTGCCCCATTATTGTAGCAAAACAACCTCACATTCCAGAATGATCATGCTTGGACCTGTGTAGTGAGGATCTGTTGTGAATTTCTCACTAACAACAATATCAACCCACTGGACTGGCTGCCATACAGCCCCGACCTATCCCCTATTGAGCACTTGTGGGACTAACTGGATAGACATGATCGATGATGCCAGCCTCCCCTGTTACTCTAGCCCATCTGAAAGCAGCTCTCTTAGACTTGGAAGAATGGGCCAACAACCCAGTGAGGAGGACAGACTCACTCATGAACTCCCATGTCTAGGAGAATCAGGGCTGTGGCGAGAGCGAACGGGGGACATGCCTGGTATTGACTAACCAGCACCCACACTAGACTAGACTAGAATCATCTTCAAAGTTTACCTGCATTTCTTTATCCCTTTAGTATATTTTGGGAAATAGGCCATTTCATAACATAAATTCACTTGGAAATCAAGCTGAATTATATGGGGCTGCAATTTGGCCCTGGATGGATTTCAACCAAATTTGGTCCAATGCATCATTGAGTGACGGTAATCATTTTTCAAATTTAGAATTTCGATTCAACCACTAGGGGTTGAGGGATGGGGCCCCAAAGAGGAGGTGCTGAGTTTAGATTTAAAACCTTACTCCTCCTTTCTCCTTGGGTGGATTTCAACAAGCTTTGTCCTGATTCATCAGTTAGGGTAGGCAATTATTTCTTAAATTCAGAAATTTGATTTGAGCCCTAGGGACATGGGGGTCGGAGGGGAGGGGGGGCCAAAAGGGAAAATAATCATTTTGTTTCAAAACACTACTCCTTTGTAATGATTGAATGGATTTCTACCAAACTTGATCTGAAAGTGAGGAATCATTTCAAAATTAAGAAATTTCATATGACCTGTAGGGACCTGAGGGCAGACAGGGTCCCAAATGGGAAAGTTAATCAGCATTTTGCTTAAAAATGCTGATATTAGGCTTGTTGCATATTAGGATGTTGGACTACCAACTTTGCAATTATGAGTGATGTTGACCCACTTTCAAGGTAAAAGCTATCAAATGTGTTATAAAGTTTAAGCAACTTTTCTCAATAACCCAAAGGCAAAGAGTCTTGATATTGGGCCTCTAGCTTGGTGTTGTGCATGTATAAAAAATATGATTTCAAGTTTGCAGAAAATGTCTCGATGTGAACCAACAATGTCTTCTATGTAAGCTGTAGAGTAGTTGAGCAATTCATTTTATGCCTAGGCTATTTTGCCTCTTTCAAATATAGGTCTTTATTTTTTTAACGTATATTTTTAAAAGCACATACATGACAATATCATAACTTATTCTACAGTGCACTCATCCATAGATTTAAATAAAGACATTATGTACCAGACATCTGTATACAAACCACTCATATCAAACACTTCACATATATCATACATTCCTAATTTATTTTTACAAATACTTTAGTATGATGCATAAGATTTCAATCGATCCAAAATGTCAGTTTAGAACATTGAACTAAAACTAGTCATGATAGTCATGTGTTGTGAAAGAAAGGAAATAGAGATAGACAAGGACAGACAAGAAACATAAAAGAAACAGACACGTGCACAGAGACAAGAAATATCAGACTGAGTAAGACAACATATAAGACAATTGACACAGGACAAGTGTCAACAGATTAGCGAGAAACGAGCCTTCAAAAACTCATAAAAGTATAAAATTAAATAGACAATTGCTTTATTGAAAAAATTTGCTCTAAACCAACTATCAGAATCCTGAAGTCATTAATAGATAAGAATGAGTATAGACAGAAATGACAGAAAACTATTCAAATTAAATCTAAATCCGTTAAAAATGTTCCGTTTTCCCCACTGTGTACTTGGAACTTTCAAGAGAAGCATCACCCTTAGTCATTGCTATGTGTTTTTTGACATTGTGATGGTCTTTTAATAAACAGATCAGATAATTGTTGTTTAGAGTGATGTGAACATATCTAGCTTTGTAAATGTAGTGTTTAATGATGATGTTAATTTCATTATTACAATAGAGGTCTTTATAGTCAGAGTTAAGGCCCATCAGCTTCTCGTTAAACTTCATTATCAAATTGTATCTACACTAAGATTTCCATACATATAAAGTATCATAATTATTTAGTAATAAGCCCAGTCATATTTGATAACATTTATAGATAATGTAGAGCTACACAGACATTTCTGCCTGTTTAGTCAATCCCTCATACCATAATTTGAATGCTTATTGTTATGATCACAGCTATGGGTTGTCCAGTTGTTGGTTTATCAGGGCCTTGAAGAGATCAGTAAACAGTTTTCATACTTGTAGAAAAAATATACAGTGATACAATTTGCTTTTTGTACTATGTGTTGTATGTGACCACTGAAGCTAGGATTCTGGTGTGATGTAGTATCCTCCAGTTGGACAACCTTAACCTTGTCTCCTGAACAGTGCTCTGGAATTCTTTTGGTGTTCATGTAAACTGTCATGACCATATCCCTGTTGGGAGAAATTCTCAACTGATTCATAAGATGATGTAAATCTTGTATTCTTTCATCTTAAAGATTGGTGATGCTTTTATATTTTGAATCCTTTGCAATCACAAGAGTTGTGTAAGTGGAACATCCTGGTACATCATTGATATATAATGAATAAAGAGTATAGGATTTCTTCGTATAATAAACTTCGTTACTCGGATCCAAGGCATGTCAACAGCTTGATGCACAAATAAATTGTGAATTGGGAAGGAGCTGTTTGTGTTGTCTTAACTCTCAACCTGAATTCTACCTATTTTTAGTGAGGACTTGGTATACTTTTGTATCCACGGCAGTTCCCAGAACAATTTACCGTATTATCATAGATTGTGGGAGGTTGTGCATCCACCCCCCAACCCCACCCCCCTGTGTTGATACTTTGTTATGGTATACCAATGATAACAGGATGTCTCTTTGTATCATTTACTAATGATCTCTGTCCTTTATCACTTAAAAAACATTTTATCCATTATACAAGGTATAATCTGGTTGGTTTGTTACAGGTTTCTCGTTTCCTTGACTTTTCCTTTTGTGAGGCGTTGTCTCACTAATGAACATCTGTTTTCTGGCAATGCTAGTTATCTTGTATAAAGAATTTTATCAAGTGTTTTCATAAAATCCATGGTCCTATACATCTTTCAGCTCACCACTGACCAACATATCTGTATTGTCTAGTAAGTTAGAAATGTTGACATTTAGATAGAAAATTAAACTACTTTTTACAAAATTAGTTAGCTGTCTCCATATGCTATATCATATGACTTTCAGGAGTTAATTGCTGTTCTGAAGAATAAATGACATGTTATTCTAATGCCTTGTAATAAGCCTATTACAGTGTTCCCTGACTCAATTAGAGGTAGTGCTTCAGCCTCTGGACCTATTATAATACAAAAAAATGAATACGTGCATAACTGGGATTCATAAAAATTTCATATTGCTATTTTCATTATGTGATTCTATGTATTGGAAAATGTGCCATATATTTCATAGATGAAAGCTCTAAACCCATGGTACTGTAACATCAGTAATATGATGTTTCTAGATTTAATGATCTTTTTTCTACACTTTCACATGGTATAGATATGTTACCCATATGAATAATACTATATGTTTATCATGGTTTTTTTCAACATACATTGATTCCACCGATAAGATATACTGTGTTCAGATGAAAATTCTAAATTTCAATCAGTCATACACAGTGTCAATGGATGCCATCGGTATCTTGTTATTTGTGAGGAAATTACCACAGAATGGACAGAGAGCATAAGTTAATTATACAACAGTATTAAAAACACTTGTACAATAGTAAATAAAACTCAATAGTACTACATTGTATTCCAGTTACATGTGTAGTGTAATTTGCTGTTATATATTGATGGTCCTTGATTGTATGATGACTTAAATGCAAAGAGTTGCTAAGACATCTAGTTTTGTGGATATCAAATGTATAAACATGCAATGATATTAAAATTTTGTGATAGAAAAAGGAATTTTTATTATAAGCAATTAGTATGTACAAAACATCAAGTTGAGATAAAAATGTGGAAAGGAGTGTCTGAACCTCTTGACATTCCCGAAGACAATGGATGATTGTTTCCTGTTACACAGTGTGCATTAAGGGCTAACAACTAAGTTTTATGTAAAAAAGTGTTTATTACCAGGCTATGGTGTATAATTCTACTCTGGAGCTATTGTAATTTAGAGTTTTGTAGACTAAGAATGGTATTTTAAATATATCCCTTCACTTCTCCATCATCAAAATCAAATTTTGAACAAGTCATATTTTTAAAAATTTCTAATGAAGTGGAATTGGAGGATGAGAGGTTCTTTCTAAAACAACGTCATGATTTCTAAAAACAAAAAACATTGACAGCAGTAATTAGACCATGGTTTTGTAAAAAGTTGATACTTATTTGAAAGATTTATGAAAACTCTTGAAGGGAGAAAAAAAGTCATATATCATCTACAATTGTAATTAATTGTAAACTCCAGCCTTAAACCAATTTGCATAAAAACAGCCATACCATTTGTCTTAGTATCTTCATTATACCAAGAAGTGTTTCTAGAATTGATTCCTGTCTACAAAAAGATTACATTTATTAAGTATATCCTATGCTTTGAAGACATCTTTCTGGAAGAAGTTACGCCAGTTTCACAATTCAATTCACAATTATACAGTTTCTTGAGATCAACTATTGATTTTAAAATAGAGACCCATTCCCCATGAGAATAAAAAGTTGTGTTTATTTATTTAAGATTGAGAGAATTAATGAAAGCTTGCATGTCTGTCATCTTCAGATTTCCTTTAATATACATTGAAGTTTTGTGAAGCAACGTCTTTATTAATCTTCTGACACGACATTCCAAAGAAAGTGAAACAATAAGGAGTGGAGTGATTTTTCTGGTGGATTGGGTAGAGTAATAATTAGTTCATTCAGTCGTGATATAAACAAGAAGATTTGATAACATTTATCCTGCTATTGTGTGTACCATCTACTCCAAGTACTTAAAAGAGCTTATATTTACACTTGTTTTATCACTATACAACATCACAGGATTAAAATGTGTATCATACTAGCATGGAAACATTGACCTTTGAACTTAAGCTTGAAAATGTTGCAGGGACCACTTTTGCCAAACGCATAGATTTGTTTATATTTTAATGTACGCAGGTGATGTTTTTATTTGATAATCAAAAATGTAAATAAGATTTAAAAAATATTCAAAAAACACATCATAAATATTTCTAATATAGTTAAAAAAATATAAATTACCTAATATGCATTGCTTTGACATTTTGTCAACTACAACATCAATGTCAAAATGTATGGAAACTTTCAAAACGACATGTTCAGTTCTTCACCTGAACAAATGAACACTTTCAACAGCTCTGATGTTAAGGATTTCAACAACATTTTGACATTAATCAGATTGAATATGATAATCTGTGAAAATGTTTCTGTTTTTCTTTTTACTATCACACATAATAAGGGAATTTTTTATCACTGCGGAGGAAAAATTTCACTTTGTTGTGAAGAGTCATGAGTGGCTGTTCAACTCATTAAACCCTCTCCCCACCAATTACTTTTCTGGAGTTGTTATGTCACATACTAACAAGGATTGCTCTACAGAAAAATTATGATGAAGAGACCCTGACATGTAAATATAGGGGCTGGATTTTACTTTTATTAACCATGTTCCTCTAGGAATATATCCTAAATGGGGCACTAACCATTATTTTGTCTCTGCATGATATTCAATGTATGTCAATTAGAGAATTATGTGCAATAATTTGTAACATTTTATCTCTAGCTGTACTGTTATTTATAAATCTATAATTATCATATTCTAATGTTGGGTTAAAATTAAATTAAAGTCACCACACAGTATTTTTAACCATCAGATAGTTGATTAAAGAACTCTGTATTATCCAGATTTTGTCCATACTGATTTATCATAGTTAATCTGGTGCCACTAACCCCAATGAGCTATTATGCTTTCTTTTCTGTGTATACTGTTCCTTTAAAGTTGTGTATTGAGATATATTTGGGTTCTTGTTATATTTATATATCTTAGACTTTGATAGTATTGCTTTCTGATATTGTTAAAACCTTTTTTGATATGAAAAAGACATTAGTACAGATTTTTTAAGATATGACAGACTGCCAAGTCTTACTGTGGGACAGTGGTGCATTTGGCAGCTAACATAAACTAGAACTGTACAGGAAATGGTAACACACTTGATCATATCTCACTCCTTAGAGTCATCCCACCAAGTCTTATATATCGTACATCACTTGGCAGTGTTTATAATGTTTGTACTTTACCATTCACAGTCCTCCATAACATAGTTTCCTATCTAACAAGGTTAAATTGTTAATTTGATGTCAACACATAAAATTTTGGGCATTTGTTGAAAATGAACAAAGATTTTTTAAAATATTATCTTTGTTACCAACTGTCTAATACTAAACTCAGGAACAAGTGTCAAAACTAGCAAGATTTGTATCTAATTCACACACAATGTCCACACTAGGCAGGTTCCATTGTACAAATGAATTAAGTAACAGTAAGCACACCAATACCGTGAATACTAATAGCTATGAGCTGACATATTGACTTTGGTATCTCACCTTCATTAGTTCTGTAAATATAGAATGATTGTATGCCCATATTTGGAATACAGTTAATAAAGATCTGGGCTACACATATTACATCATTTTTGGCTCACCTGGCTGGAAGGGCCAAGAGAGCTTATGCCATCTTCCATCCTCCCATCCATTGTCTGTCTGTACATCTAGCATCAACTTTTCCACTAATGAGGATCCACTTAACACACATTTACGCAAGTCAGTGAACAGGGTTCCATTGAATACACAAAATAACGAGGTTCCACTATGTATTTTAACAGAGAAACTGCTGTTACTGAATATCAACACCTGTCACTAAAGAAACACAGTTAACACAGTCCACTCCACAATTCCTTTCAGGGGTAGTAATGATTACACACCAGAAAAGGGACCGTTTGCATTACAAAAGCAGGGAGGGTATTGTTAAGCGATGATGAAGTCAACAAGACAGTGGAAAGGATCAATTTTATTTGATGTATTTAAGAAAATGCAATTAGAATTCTTGATTTCAAAGTCTTTTATTTTTAATGTTTCCACAGCATGTGAAGCTGCACTATGTGTCCAATGGAGATGAAAGTAAACCCTTGATGCTGTTGATCCATGGATTTCCAGAGTTCTGGTACTCCTGGAGGTTTCAGCTCCGTGCCTTCTCTAAGGACTACAGGTTAGAAATTAATAGAGATGTTACAGACAAATTTCAGGCTGTTGTGACAAATTTCAGGCAATTGTGACAAAAAGTTATTTGATGAGAATGCTTTTTCTTTGTATAATTAAATAAACACATCTCCCTCTGTAATTAGCACAATGAGAGCTTTTTACTCAGAAATATATTCCAAAGGATGCATGGCAGAAATTTTAAGGATGACTTGGGTGAGACATGAAGTACGGATGTGTAATGACAGTTTATAAGTTAGGGTCAGACCTGGAGGCCTGTAATTAGCCCCCTTGAGTCCTGTAATAAGTCCTCTGGGGTCCTGTAATAAGCCTGACACCCGACTTTGATTTGGAAGTAATATGTTGGGCCCCTGAGGTCCTGTAATAAGCCCAACACCTGACTTTGATTTAGAAGTAATATGTTGGCCCCCTGGGGTCCTGTAATAAGCCCACCGTCTAACTTTGATTTAGAAGTAATATGTTGGCCCACTGGGGTCCTGTAATAAGCCCACCCTCAGACTTTGAAGTAACTTGTGGCCTCATGGGCTTATCATCCTGTAATAAGCCCAACACCTGACTTTGATTTAGAAGTAATATGTTGGCCCCCTTGGTGTCTTGTAATAAACTCAGTATTAAGTAAACCAGATTAGTGAAAATATTCAATTGTTGTCACAGAAAAAAGGGTATTTCAGAGCAAAATTAATGCTTAAAATACCAATCTGACCTGCTGCATCAAACCTACAGCTGTGAAATGACAAAGAATTTCCCCAATTTTTAATATTGAACATTTTCACTAATCTAATTTTAACTCTAAGCAATCTGTGGCCAGCAAAGCAAGAGAAGTTAGAATGACATGATATATAAACAACATGAACATATAGCTGTAGTCCGGCAGATTTCACCATTAGGGTATGAAGTGGAAACGCTTGTGTAGCAGTGATGGGTACCATATGGTTCCATCCATTAGAGGTAATGAATCTACCTTGTGAATGTTTCCTTGTACCCCATGAGTCTCTGTTTAGAGTTAAGGGGATCTGGAAATTATTCTCTGTCAAATTAGTGCAAGTCACCGTTTACCAGGTCTGTTGGGTTGAGTATTGCTAGTATACTTTGATTGATAAATTGTGATTGAACAAAATATATTGATGAGACAAATGAATATTTACTTTAAGTAACAATATCTTCTTCCAAATTTTGTATTTAGTTGAATTTTCACTTAGATGTTCAATACAGACTGTGATTATGGTAGTGTGATTAAATTATTAGTCCAAGCTTCAGTCCACCAGTAGAGATATTAACAAGTATTATATACTGATTCATTTGATTTGATCCTGTACCATATCTGTTTAAATAATGGCGTTACTGAGGAATTTTAAAACAGGCACTGAAACATTGTTAGTAATATTTCAAATAACAAAAATGACAGAAACCAAACAAAACCTCACCTCTATAGATTTTATCTTTCAGAATGATGGTACTACTTCATGAATTTTTATTTCCAGTTTCGAATAATATCAAGAAATGTTATTCTACTTTCTTGGTGAAGATAGTAAAGATACAAGGTACCAGTATGTGGCACCTAGGTGCTTCCATTGTGAAGATAGTAAAAGTACATGGTATTTTGTTTATGGAAATCAATGGCATATTCGCTCTTGTTATTCACCTGCACCAAGCATGCTTATATCAAATACAGTACCTCTCCTAGCATTTTTGAAGGTTTTGTAGCCTGTTTTTTATGAATTGCTTAGAGACCTGGGCGATTGTTGGATTAAATACGGTGTGAATTAGACATAGATATCTGAGTCATGACACATCACTACACTAACAAACCAACTAAAAATAGAACATCTTAGTCATCGAAGGTTATGATTTCTCCAGAAGATAAGTTGATGAAGTTAAGGAAAAGACTGTTATAATCTATTAATCTTATTTCTAGACATGGACTTATAACCAGACACTGACTTATAACCAAACACTGACTTATTACCAGACACTGACTTATTACCAGACACTGACCTATTACCATACATGGACTTATTACCAGACACTGACTTATTACCAGACACTGACCTATTACCATACGTGGACTTATTACCAGACACAGACTTATTACCAGACACAGACTTATTACCAGACACTGATTTATTACCAGACATGGGCTAATTACCAGACATGGGCTTATTACCAGACATGGATTTATTACCAGACATGGATTTATTACCAGACATAGGCTTATTACCAGACATGGACTTATTACCAGACATGGGCTTATTACCAGACATAGGCTTATTACCAGACATAGGCTTATTACCAGACATAGGCTTATTACCAGACATGGACTTATTACCAGACATGGACTTATCACCAGAAATAGGTTTATTACCAGACATGGACTGCTTACCAGACATGGATTTATTACCAGACATGGCCTTATTACCAGACATGGACTTATTACCAGGCATGGAATCTTACCAGACATAGGCTTATCACCAGAAATAGGTTTATTACCAGACATGGACTTATTACCAGACATGGACTGCTTACCAGACATGGACTTATTACCAGACATGGGCTTATTACCAGACATGGACTGCTTACCAGACATGGCCTTATTACCAGAGGTGGACTTATTACCAGACATGGACTAGACATGAAATTATTACCAGGCAGGGACTTATTACCAGACATGGCCTTATTACCAGAGGTGGACTTATTACCAGACATGGACTAGACATGAAATTATTACCAGGCAGGGACTTATTACCAGACATGGCCTCATTGTTAAATAAATATGGTGTACACATTGGTATAAAATTGAGCCTTTGCTTTTCTGTGTTGTAGTTAATAATAAGCTGAAAACTTTGGAAATAAGAATAAAAATAGTGTGGAAAGTACAAACATATGACAGAAGGCAATAAAATGATTTATGTAAGGATGATGTAATATCTCAGACGACTGGCTTATGCTATAACCAGCAATTAAACTCTCCTTAGAGAGCTGCAAATCTGGGTTGTTATACCAGTGTCTATTGATTAGTACACAAAGGAAGGATTTACATACAATATTGTATTTCTTGGTATTCAATAGGGAAAACAAAACGTCAAAAAAAATTAGGTGCATCATCTGTTTGTCATCGATGTAAGGATATAGAGAGCAAAAAGTGTAGTGAAGGATGAAGGTTGATTGCAGAAAAAAATGAGGTACTTTAGATGTTCTTTTTTAAGCAGAAATCTTATTTTAGCACTTTTTGCTAAGGAAGTATTCAACTTAGATAAGATTACACTAAATGAAATATCTCTCAGCTCTTTATATATCAACTGTTGCGAACACTAATTTGCAAAGAAGTTTTTATGTGATCAAATTGAGTACTTTTCTAGTATTTAATGTTCCTGGTGTGGTAGAAGGTATAAAAAGGGATTGGACAAGTGGGAAGTGGAGAGGAGGGGTACGGAATGGTGTCAGAGAGTTAATATAGCATAGATAGGGGATTAGATATAGAAAAGAATAAAAAGGGAGGGATGAGAGGGGAGAGGAGGAAGGATAAAGAGTGCTATGGGAGAGACAGTGGGTTGAAAAGGAATAGATTCGGAAATAGAAACAGTGGGTAGAAAAGGAATGGATCTGGAGGTAGAAACAGTGGGTAGAAAAGGGATGGATCTGGAGATAGAAACAGTGGGTAGAAAAGGAATGTATTTGGAGGTAGAAACAGTGGGTAGAAAAGGAATGGATCTGGAGGTAGAAACAGTGGGTAGAAAAGGAATGGATCTGGAGGTAGAAACAGTGGGTAGAAAAGGAATGGATCTGGAGGTAGAAACAGTGGGTAGAAAAGGAATGGATCTGGAGGTAGAAACAGTGGGTAGAAAAGGAATGGATCTGGAGGTAGAAACAGTGGGTAGAAAAGTAATAGATCTGGAGGTAGAAACAGTGGGTAGAAAAGGGAACAGATCTGGAGGTAGAAACAGTGGGTAGAAAAGGAATGGATCTGGAGGTAGAAACAGTGGGTAGAAAAGGAATGGATCTGGAGGTAGATACAGTGGGTAGAAAAGGAATAGATCTGGAGGTAGATACAGTGGGTAGAAAAGTAATGGATCTGGAGGTAGAAACTGTGGGTAGAAAAGGAACAGATCTGGAGGTAGAAACAGTGGGTAGAAAAGTAATGGATCTGGAGGTAGAAACAGTGGGTAGAAAAGGAACAGATCTGGAGGTAGAAACAGTGGGTAGGAAAGTAATGGATCTGGAGGTAGAAACAGTGGGTAGAAAAGGAATGGATCTTGAGGTAGAAACAGTAGTTAGAAAAGGAATGGATCTGGAGGTAGAAACAGTGGGTAGAAAAGTAATGGATCTGGAGGTAGAAACAGTGGGTAGAAAAGTAATGGATCTGGAGGTAGAAACAGTGGGTAGAAAAGTAATGGATCTGGAGGTAGAAACAGTGGGTAGAAAAGGAATGGATCTGGAGGTAGAAACAGTGGGTAGAAAAGGAATGGATCTGGAGGTAGAAACAGTGGGTAGAAAAGGAATGGATCTGGAGGTAGAAACAGTGGGTAGAAAAGTAATGGATCTGGAGGTAGAAACAGTGGGTAGAAAAGGAATGGATCTGGAGGTAGAAACAGTGGGTAGAAAAGGAATGGATCTGGAGGTAGAAACAGTGGGTAGAAAAGGAATGGATCTGGAGGTAGAAACAGTGGGTAGAAAAGGGAACAGATCTGGAGGTAGAAACAGTGGGTAGAAAAGGAATGGATCTGGAGGTAGAAACAGTGGGTAGAAAAGGAATGGATCTGGAGGTAGAAACAGTGGGTAGAAAAGGAATGGATCTGGAGGTAGAAACAGTGGGTAGAAAAGTAATGGATCTGGAGGTAGAAACAGTGGGTAGAAAAGGAACAGATCTGGAGGTAGAAACAGTGGGTAGGAAAGTAATGGATCTGGAGGTAGAAACAGTGGGTAGAAAAGGAATGGATCTGGAGGTAGAAACAGTGGGTAGAAAAGGGAACAGATCTGGAGGTAGAAACAGTGGGTAGAAAAGGAATGGATCTGGAGGTAGAAACAGTGGGTAGAAAAGGAATGGATCTGGAGGTAGAAACAGTGGGTAGAAAAGGAATGGATCTGGAGGTAGAAACAGTGGGTAGAAAAGGAATGGATCTGGAGGTAGAAACAGTGGGTAGAAAAGGAATGGATCTGGAGGTAGAAACAGTGGGTAGAAAAGTAATGGATCTGGAGGTAGAAACAGTGGGTAGAAAAGGAATGGATCTGGAGGTAGAAACAGTGGGTAGAAAAGGAATGGATCTGGAGGTAGAAACAGTGGGTAGAAAAGGAATGGATCTGGAGGTAGAAACAGTGGGTAGAAAAGGGAACAGATCTGGAGGTAGAAACAGTGGGTAGAAAAGGAATGGATCTGGAGGTAGAAACAGTGGGTAGAAAAGGAATGGATCTGGAGGTAGAAACAGTGGGTAGAAAAGGAATGGATCTGGAGGTAGAAACAGTGGGTAGAAAAGTAATGGATCTGGAGGTAGAAACAGTGGGTAGAAAAGGAACAGATCTGGAGGTAGAAACAGTGGGTAGGAAAGTAATGGATCTGGAGGTAGAAACAGTGGGTAGAAAAGGAATGGATCTGGAGGTAGAAACAGTGGGTAGAAAAGGGAACAGATCTGGAGGTAGAAACAGTGGGTAGAAAAGGAATGGATCTGGAGGTAGAAACAGTGGGTAGAAAAGGAATGGATCTGGAGGTAGAAACAGTGGGTAGAAAAGGAATGGATCTGGAGGTAGATACAGTGGGTAGAAAAGGAATGGATCTGGAGGTAGATACAGTGGGTAGAAAAGTAATGGATCTGGAGGTAGAAACAGTGGGTAGAAAAGGGATGGATCTGGAGGTAGAAACAGTGGGTAGAAAAGGAATGATTCAGAGATGGAGAGGATGTGGTTAGAGGCGATGTAGGATGGTATTGAAGATAGCTGTAATATTGATATAAGAGTATTGAAGAGGTTCAAAAATGGTTGGTAAAGGGAGATTTGATTAAGAAAGAAACAGATGTTTGGGTATAGAATGACAATGAGATAGAAGAGGCAGAATGTAAAATGGTAGACGTTGAATTAGGATGCAGAAGCTAGTTTTGAATGGTTAAGAAAAGGTGTAAATAGTTCAGGTAGAATTAGCACGAGAGTTTTCATTATACAGTAATTTGTCGCTACCCACACCAGTAAATGTTGGTATACCCCGAGATTTTACATGTCTGGCTGATAACAGTACACATACCTGCCCTATCAAAGTAGATAAATTAGTGTCTGGAACGTTCTGTAAGGATGACAAGTGTTGTCTGACAAGTGTGTCACACATGGTTATCATGACTAGACTTGTTTCTTCAGTTCACAAATTGGGAATACACTTATTACATAAGGGGAGCATTTGGCCACATAAATTTCCCCTACATATGAGAATTTGTGGAGTGTTAAATGTATATTTAAGTATTTATTTAATATGCCATGGTACATTGTTCATGAAAATAATCCCCATACATACAGTTTGTAATGCCAAGTTTACTTTAGAATAACTCTAAAAACCTTGAGAAAGCAGCGAAGAAGCCATGTTCAGTAGATACTTATGGCAAGCATGAAAATGATTAAATGTATTTTCAGTTACTTTGGCATACTTCTTCCTGTACCAGTAGTTAAGCGTACTGTAATGTAACTGAGCCCAATTAATCCCTCAGTTTGCCATTCTCTACTTTACTTTAATGTTCTTAATGAACTTTCTTTATTTGCCCAAGTTTAACCTTCTTGACATATTTAAACTTTCAAATTCTGTAGTTATCTTTAAGTAAGTAAAGCTACATCATTTAACACATATGTGACCAAGGCTTAATGGTGTGTACATGTGTTTTTTTATCTGTTCAGTTTCAACATGTTCAGGATTGAAGGAGTTCAGTATCTTTATTTAATTTATTTACTTTATTTTTCCATATTTTTTTTTCCAAACCCACAATTAGCTGTCATCACTAAGACTAGCTCTCATAACCAGATAGAGCCTCGACAACCTGCCACCCAACTTCAGTTTCTTTTTTCAGTTTCTGTTAAATGAATCTTGCCATCAGAAAACATCTGATCAAAATTTGTATAGCATATTTATTACTACGGTACTGGATAGTGGTGTAGTGTCAGTGGGCTGTTACATGGGCAAGCCAGGGTGCTAGCTACACGCAGGCCTGACTTGGCAAAGACATCCAATGCTATCACTACCCTGATAAATCCTAATCCCATCACCAGCTACCAAAAAATCACTACTGTTTTCTGATCTTTTGACCTCTGTATCGCCAGGTCTCCCAGTGTAGTACAGTTTTATATACCAAACATACTTGTAAAAATCTGTGGTATTGTAAAATATGAATTCTCACCAGTGGTTATTTTAAAGTCCTGCTCTTTGTTGACCATTCTTGGGTTACTTGGCCTGGAGCGTTAAGTGTGTTGTAGCCTAGTATGTCCATTTCCTGACCCCTTTTCAGTGCAAATATCTTACAGAGATTGTGAACCACACAGTATATTAATAGTTAAATGTGATTTGTAAATGCTTTTATCACATGTTTTTTATGTACCTATCTTCTCTACTGGTGTTTTAAGGAACTAGCATGCCCTTTCCTTACTTGAGAGCTACCATGCCATTGTGATATTTTTTGTTTTGTTCATATTACTCCCTAATAAATCTAATCCAGCCTCTCCTGATCTTTATCAGTTATTTCTAGTGAGACATGTAGTATGTAACATGCCACTGATCCAGTTCAGATCTTATTGTGATAAAACTGCCCCAGGTAATTGAGAATTTACTCTCTCACTGCTATATATGACTACCGGTATTATCATAAAAGGTCTTTTTTGATGAAATCCAAAATGTTGCAGTTTTTGTCAGAATCAAACAGGAAGTGACACAATTAAAATAGTCACTGGACAAAAGGTCAAGGTTACACAGATCAAATGTAATATGTCTCAAATCGTCTTTGTCTTGGTACTTGTATTGGGAAGAGTTATTGTTGTGAATTGAGGAAGAAGATATCATCTACAAGGAAATAAAAAAACACTTGAATTTGTACCTTTGAATACTTACCCCTTGACATCACAGATTACACTGAAAAATCTTACTATCACCAGAATATCTGAGGTCAAGGTCACCGAGATCAAAGTTTTTACTAGAAGTAGTACATGTGACAATATTCTGGAAAAGAAGTTGCATTACAACAGTGAGTCATAGTCAGCGAAATAACAAAGACAAAGGATAATGATTGTACTTAATTTGTTTCTGTTCAAACCTGCAGACAGAGATTGAGTTTAAATGCTGTGCTCCAATATGTGTCTAATATTGTAATCACAGTGTCTGTCCATCTGTCTGTCCATCAGGACTTTTTTCTGTGCGATAACTTTGAGTTTGCTTTGCCCAATCTAAATCAAACTACATACAATTTTTCCTTGGGATTTTGCATTTTATATCCCAAGTAGCAAGGTCAAGGTTACTGTCATTATGAATAGAAAAAATTAAATTCTTGAATGTATGTTATTAGAGGGTGGGTTGGTGCAGGGTGGGGTATTTTCAGCCACATAGTGGGGCCCTTTCTGACCTGTCAGCTCTCAAGTTCTAATTGTTTGTTGATTACTAAAACAATTCTAGGAATCATGTTTCCATAATTATTATTACTGAGGCTGAACCATTTCACAAACTGGTCCTTTATTTATCATGAAGTGTGTGTATTATAATCTGTTAGGTTAACTATTTATGTTTTGCTACTTTTCAGTGTAATTATCAGCAAGTTTTCATTCCATGGAATAACATATTTTCATCTCCATGGCATACTTTGCTTTCCTGTGTATGAAAGTTTTCTTTTCTTCATCATTGGTTCAATTCCTTGCTTCTTTCTTTAGCTGGATCCTTAAAGATGTTACTATGGCAACGTCCTTGCCAGCTCCATGATTCCTTAATGATTCTGTTCATGTGTGAAAAACCTTGCAGTTGTTGTTAGTAAAACTCAATCTCATTAAAATGTAAAAATATGATAATGTACTTAGCAGGTATTACTGGGAACAAATCTTAATGAGATTAATGAGCCCATTTTTTGTGTTAATATGTATGTAAAAAAGTTATATTTTAAATCTACTGCTGATAAAGTGTCAGTGTATTTATAAAAATGTGAAGATTGTAGATTCAATACATGTGTTTGTAGATATCTGCAAATGGTACTAGAGAAAAATACTTACAGAAATGTATAGATCATATTAGTAATGAATAAGTGTACTTCAGTGAGTATTGTAGAAGGTTATAAAATGATGGTGGTATTGTTGTATATATAGATCATCACTGATGGTATTGTTGTATATATAGATCATCACATCACTGATGGTATTGCTGTATATATAGATCATCACTGATGGTATTGTTGTATATATAGATCATCACTGATGGTATTGTTGTATATATAGATCATCACTGATGGTATTGTTGTATATATAGATCATCGCTGATGGTATTGTTGTATATATAGATCATCGCTGATGGTATTGTTGTATATATAGATCATCGCTGATGGTATTGTTGTATATATAGATCATCGCTGATGGTATTGTTGTATATATAGATCATCACTGATGGTATTGTTGTATATATAGATCATCACTGATGGTATTGTTGTATATATAGATCATCACTGATGGTATTGCTGTATATATAGATCATCACTGATGGTATTGTTGTATATATAGATCATCACTGATGGTATTGTTGTATATATAGATCATCACTGATGGTATTGTATTGTTGTATTACCAGAGTCGTGGCAATTGACCAACGAGGATACTCTGAGTCCGAGAAACCAAATGGCTACAGCAACTACTCGGTTGATAAACTAGTGAGCGACATAAAGCAATTGATTCCAGCTCTTGGTAAGTTTCGTACCAATTTTCCTAGTGACTTAATTTCTACACCGACTGTATTACATTGCTGTATATGTCACAGTATAATTAGCCTAATATACAGGGATATCAAAATTATGATAATATATCAGTACAATTACCTATATGTATCAAGTTTATTTCCTGAAACAAATTCACAAAATTTAGTTTATGTCTATATCATCATTGTGTGGAGATGGGGGGAGTGGCTGTATTTAAATCTGTGTGTAAGTAGTAAAAATAATAAAATGTTAATTCATGTTAATACTTGGTGACACTTGTTAACTCATCTGAACTCTTATTTACTCTGGTGAACTCTTGTTCCAAAACGTTTTTAATTGTGTTTTTCTACTCACAATTCCACATCATTTGTGATGAAGTAAATGTTCTTCAGTCAAGATGGATGATATCTTCCACTTTCATGTGTTGTATTGAAGTAAATGTTCTTCAGTCACGATGGATGTTATCTTCCACTTTTATGTGTTGTAATGAAGTAAATGTTCTTCAGTCACGATGGATGATATCTTCCACTTTTATGTGTTGTAATGAAGTAAATGTTCTTCAGTCACGATGGATGTTATCTTTCACTTTTATGTGTTGTAATGAAGTAAATGTTCTTCAGTCACGATGGATGATATCTTCCACTTTTATGTGTTGTAATGAAGTAAATGTTCTTCAGTCACGATGGATGTTATCTTTCACTTTTATGTGTTGTATTGAAGTAAATGTTCTTCAGTCACGATGGATGTTATCTTCCACTTTTATGTGTTGTAATGAAGTAAATGTTCTTCAGTTACGATGGATGATATCTTCCACTTTTATGTGTTGTAATGAAGTAAATGTTCTTCAGTCACGATGGATGATATCTTCCACTTTTATGTGTTGTAATGAAGTAAATGTTCTTCAGTCACGATGGATGATATCTTCCACTTTTATGTGTTGTAATGAAGTCAATATTCTTCTAAGTTGTTTTAGGATCCCCTGTTGGCTTTAACACCTTTATACACATGATACTTTATTTCTAGCCATCATTATCAGATGTGGGTTGTTCAAATCACTCTTTATCCTTGTTCCATTCATTAATCTGTGGTCCACGGTCTAATTTTTTAACCAGAAAGAAAAAATATGACAGGTGGCATTCTTGTTTTTTTTTCCCATTTCTTGAGAGGTAACTAATGGATCTTTTTTTCAAGTTTTGTATGTAGATTAATCTTGATCCCTGGTAATGCATGCTTAATTCTGAGACTTATTTAAAGTTGCCTACATAGATATCTTGGATGTTTTCTATATTACTTGAGATTCATATTGTACTTTTCTATCAATCAAAAATTATGAGTATTTACAGCAGGCAGAAGGTCCATGATTTATCTCCTTGTTAAACACGGCATGTAAATAGATAAATTGGAGAAATTTCAATGCTACAATAAAAACCACATTCCATGGTTGTATGAAATTGAACATTTCGGAGCATTTGTTATGTTAGGATGTGATTTACACTTATTAGGTCATCTCACTGGAACGGTCATGATGACCTATAGCCATCATTGTGCTATGTCTGTGGTTGTCCGCCGTGCACCATCCACTCTCCGCTGAGCATACACTTTTGACATTTTAAACTTATCCAGTTTCACTGGTGCCATTAAGCTAAAAATTGATGGGAATGTTAAGGAAAGGTAGCCAACAAAGTGTTATTTTTTGACCTTGTCAAAACTTAGACATGGCAGCCAGGGAGGCCATTTTGAAACATGATTGCGCAATCATGGTTATCCTGTGCAACTCCTATTTCAAACTTCTTCTCAAGTTTCACCAGTTGGATTGATCTCCAACTTTACTGTCAAAAATAGGTAACGCATGTTACAGTTACCTACTCCTCACCAAAATAACCATCTGCATCATGAAAAACAGCTTCTTAGTAAGATTTCATTTAAAGTAGAAACGAAACCCTTCTCCCTGCTGAAAGTTTTTGTAGTCAGATGACCATTAAGGCCTGTGTGCCTCTTGTTATTCCCTCACTACAAATGTTGGAGGGCATATGTACTTACCAATTTTTTACTTATCCTTGTCTTCACTCTAACCACATCATTCCTCAGAGCTTTTGATTAAACTAAACACATATCTTGGAACAGTTCGAAATTCAGGGCACCAGGGTCATGGTCACAGTTACCATTGCTCTTTTTAGAAAATCCTTAGCATTGCCCAAGTGACTTCATTTCTTCAGGGTGTTCAATCAAACTTTAAGAAATTGTGCTGAAGTCAAGGAGAGTATTGGTATCATATGCTATACCTTGTTATCTAAATGTTGATATTGTAATTGTAAATAATTTTTTAAGTACATGTAGTTTTGTCGGTGAATAGGATGTTTTAGAGAAATTCTTACCTTTTGAATCAATGCCATTTGTTGCCAAATCCAGGGAATCATGAAACAATAGAGTGAAAACTGAAGTTACATTTCTGACAGAATAATGATAGTGGAATTTATTTGCATTCATAATAATGATACAATTCAATAAATGTCACAGGATTCTGTCCAAATTCAGTCTGAACCATTCTTCGGAGAAGGGACATCAATTTTGTATAAACGAAGGGTCTTGGCCCCCTGGGGCAGAAGGGACAGGGCACAATAGGGGAAATAGAGTGAATTCTTTAAAATTGTTCTTCATCTTAATGAATACTAGGTTCTGTTAGAATTTGAACTAAACTATGCTAGTAGGAAGGGAAATCAATTTTTTATAAGCCGTTGCTCTTAACCCCCTTGGAGCTGGAGGACTAAGGCCCAAAAGGGGAAATAGAGCAAATTCTTTAAAATCCTTCTTCTTATGTAGGACTGTTGGTTCTGTCCAAATCTAGTCTGAAGCATCATTTGGTGAAGAGAAATCAGTTATTATAAATCTTGGGTATCTATCTTCAAGTGCTGTGACTTGGCCTAATAAGGTAAACAGAGCAAAATCTTTAAAATCCTTCTTCTTCAGTAGGAATTACAGAATTCTGGCCCAATTTAGTCTGAAGCATCCTTTGGTAAAGTAAATCAGTTTTTATAAATTTTAGGTAACAGTCTTCAAGAGTAAATAGCAAAAATGGGAAATAGAAAGATAAAATGAACTGTTGTAGGTCACAGGAGCGCAGTAGTGGTCGGCCATGACTGGGGTGGTGCTGTTGCCTGGGCATTTGCCATGAGGCATCAAGATATGGTTGACAAGCTAATTGTCTTGAATTGCCCACATCCATCCACCTTCAGGAACTACCTTCGACAACACTTTGAGCAGTTTAAGAGGTCATGGTCAGTATGCAAGTTATCACTTTGGTGGAGTGAGAGAAAACAGATTTTTAATTTACAAACCTACTCAATGGTCTGTGTTGTTTTATCCCTTTATTGATCTGTCTATGAATTAAATCTGGGTGTTTTTAAAGTTTATACAAAACCTGTCTTTGATAAATGTTGTATATCTCTGGTGTGCATGTTGTAGTTTATTATATCCCCAATCAAGGCAGGGTAAACTGTAATGTCTGTTGTTCCTTTATTCTGTTGTTCACATCACCAGTTTCAGACAATAATGTTAATGCTAATGAACCGATCAAACTCTAAATTCAAACCTTATTGAACTTGATCTGTTGCAATTGATTTCCGGTTCAAAAGGTCAAACGTCAAGGTCACAATTACACTGTACTATTAATAGAGAATTGGTTTCTGTCCAATAACTCAAGTTCCTTGAACTTAATAAATTCAAAATACTGTGCTTCCCAACACAGGTGATACTCCATTGGAACCCAGTAATGTAGATACTTGTATTTATTTTATAAGTTCATATCTTTATTTCTAATAAATGATAATATTTTAGACAACATTTTTTATTTCAATTGATTGTAAAAGATGTGCAGTTTGTGAAACTGGATTTACTATTTCAAATCACTGAATAGTTTTGAGTAGGTATCATTCAGTGGACAGTATCCATCCCATATCACTATATCATTTAAGTAGGTATTTCATCAAGCAAGCAGATTTACACCGTGAGATATTACTATAGAAAGCATGTCCATGGCAATTCAAGTGAGATCAGAAGATGTTACATGTGTGATAACCTGTGATTATTGTTGCATTTTTACCTCCACATGTACATACAATTGCCTAGTAATTACTTTTACCTTGACAGGTACATGTTTTTGTTCCAAATACCACACCTGCCTGAGTATATAATGAGCAGAGATGATTATAGGTCAATCAAAGAAATGTTTACTGGCAAACGTGGAGGTGTAAAGGTTGGAACAGTTTCAGAGGATGATCTTGAAGCATACAAATATGCTTTCTCTCGTCCAGGTAAGTACTGAAATGTTTTCTCTCATCCAGGTAAGTACTGAAATGTTTTCTCTCATCCAGGTAAGTACTGAAATGTTTTCTCTCATCCAGGTAAGTACTGAAATGTTTTCTCTCATCCAGGTAAGTACTGAAATGTTTTCTCTCATCCAGGTAAGTACTGAAATGTTTTCTTGTCCAGGTAAGTACTGAAATGTTTTCTCTCATCCAGGTAAGTACTGAAATGTTTTCTTGTCCAGGTAAGTACTGAAATGTTTTCTCTCATCCAGGTAAGTACTGAAATGTTTTCTTGTCCAGGTAAGTACTGAAATGTTTTCTCTCATCCAGGTAAGTACTGAAATGTTTTCTTGTCCAGGTAAGTACTGAAATGTTTTCTTGTCAAGGTAAGTACTGAAATGTTTTCTCTCATCCAGGTAAGTACTGAAATGTTTTCTCTCATCCAGGTAAGTACTGAAATGTTTTCTTGTCCAGGTAAGTACTGAAATGTTTTCTTGTCCAGGTAAGTACTGAAATGTTTTCTAAGTACTGAAATGTTTTCTCTCATCCAGGTAAGTACTGAAATGTTTTCTCTCATCCAGGTAAGTACTGAAATGTTTTCTCTCATCCAGGTAAGTACTGAAATGTTTTCTCTCATCCAGGTAAGTACTGAAATGTTTTCTCTCATCCAGGTAAGTACTGAAATGTTTTCTCTCATCCAGGTAAGTACTGAAATGTTTTCTCTCATCCAGGTAAGTACTGAAATGTTTTCTTGTCCAGGTAAGTACTGAAATGTTTTCTCTCATCCAGGTAAGTACTGAAATGTTTTCTTGTCCAGGTAAGTACTGAAATGTTTTCTTGTCAAGGTAAGTACTGAAATGTTTTCTCTCATCCAGGTAAGTACTGAAATGTTTTCTCTCATCCAGGTAAGTACTGAAATGTTTTCTTGTCCAGGTAAGTACTGAAATGTTTTCTTGTCCAGGTAAGTACTGAAATGTTTTCTCTCATCCAGGTAAGTACTGAAATGTTTTCTCTCATCCAGGTAAGTACTGAAATGTTTTCTCTCATCCAGGTAAGTACTGAAATGTTTTCTCTCATCCAGGTAAGTACTGAAATGCTTTCTTGTCCAGGTAAGTACTGAAATGTTTTCTTGTCCAGGTAAGTACTGAAATGCTTTCTCTCATCTAGGTAAGTACTGAAATGTTTTCTTGTCCAGGTAAGTACTGAAATGTTTTCTCTCATCCAGGTAAGTACTGAAATGCTTTCTCTTGTCCAGGTAAGTACTGAAATGCTTTCTCTCATCCAGGTAAGTACTGAAATGCTTTCTCTTGTCCAGATAAGTACTGAAATGCTTTCTCTCATCTAGGTAAGTACTGAAATGCTTTCTTGTCCAGGTAAGTACTGAAATGCTTTCTCTTGTCCAGGCAAGTACTGAAATGCTTTCTCTCGTCCAGGTAAGTACTGAAATGGTAGCCATTATGTCCCACCTCATGAGCATCCTAGTGACCCCAGAGATCTGGATAATTAAATGTACCATGGATATTTTTTACCTATCTATCAAACAGTATTTAATCTTATTTTGAATACTGCAAAAGTGACCCCAGAGATCTGGATAATTATAGAGCAATCATTTGTTGTTGTGCATAGGCAAAGTGTTCACTAATTATTGATAATTGTTTAAATGAAATTTCTGACATTTTGACCTTTTAAGTTTGCTCAAGCTTTAGAAAAAAGGCACACTACTACAGACAATATTTCTGTTTTTTATTCCCAAATCTCAATATGTTCTTCATTAGCTAAAAGCTTGATTGCACATTCATTGATTCATTCAGGCATTAAATTCTGTGTTGGGAGTTGATCTGTGTGTCCAAAAAGCAAAATTATTTTTTGCAAAACATTGTAAGTTATTTTTGCTCAACACATTACGTGATAATACTAAATCATGTGTTTAAATTGGGTGGGAACAGTCGGATTTGTTTGATTGTGAGATCGGAGTAAAATGGTGACAATTTATTGCCATTTTTGTTTGCAATTTATTGAAATGATATAGAAACTTATCTTGATGAGAAAAATATACCTTGTCTTGAAACAATAGACAAACGTTGTATTGACAAGATTGGAATGTACCTCAAACTGCACTTTATTTTACCTGTTGATGATACTGTTATCAGAAACATAGATGGTTTACAATAAGCATTCAGTGAATTTAAGCAATACTGCAATACTTGGAAGTTAACAATTAACTCAAGAAAAACCAAAGTTGTCATTTTCTCAAAAAGGAAATGTACAAGAACTCCTCATTTTACACAATGTAACGTAGAATTAGAAATACTTGAAGGGTGTATCCATCAAGGCATTAGAAATACTTGAAGGGTGTATCCATTAAGGCATTAGAAATCCTTGAAGGGTGTATCCATCAAGGCATTAGAAATACTTGAAGGGTGTATCCATCAAGGCATTAGAAATACTGGAAGGGTGTATCCATCAAGGCATTAGAAATACTTGAAGGGTGTATCCATCAAGGCATTAGAAATACTGGAAGGGTGTATCCATCAAGGCATTAGAAATACTTGAAGGGTGTATCCATCAAGGCATTAGAAATACTTGAAGGGTATATCCATCAAGGCATTAGAAATACTTGAAGGGTATATCCATCAAGGCATTAGAAATACTTGAAGGGTATATCCATCAAGGCATTTATTAAGCTGAACTGTAGCTTTTTAAAGCAAAGAAAAATGATGCTGAACAAGAACAGGAATAAGTTTTTGCTATCTCTTAAAATTTAAAAAAAAACTATTACTGCCAGTTGATCTACAGTTGAAATATTTTGATATAGTAATCATGCCAGGTCCCTTGTTTTCATCAGAAACATGGGGATTTGAAAATACAAATATCATAGAAAAAATCTGTGTGGCATTGTTATGTAAGAAAAAGAGCCAATTCCATTGTTTATGGTGAGCTGGGATCCACTAGACAATGAAATTAGATGTAGAATACATAAGATGTGAAAAATAGACAGAAGAATCAATAGAAACGAATGATTTGATGATGTTCTTAACTACTCTAGAGGAGTAGACATATTCCATATTTAGGGCAAAGTTTGCACCAGAAAACTATTTTAAGCTTAATATAAATTCTTGATGCCTTAATATAAATGTTGTCATTTTAAAGTTAAAAAAATATACAGATGAGAAATACAGGCCCTGTGAATCTAAAAATAATCCTGGCTACGAGTGACTGAAATTCTAAATTCAAATGAATTGAGTTCTCTCTTTCCTGATTATTTAGTTACCTGCTCAAATTGTAATCCAGGTCAGATCTGAAATTCAGTAAGACAACAAATGATTACATACTTATAGTTCAAATTGATGAAAACATTTTGTATCACTTATAATCAACAAACTAAATGAAGTTGATTTTGCTAACTTTTTCAGGTCTAATATAAAATTGATCAATGGGTAATGATAGTCACCACATGTCTCTGATGACTTGTTATGAAGTTATAAGATAGATGCTGTTTCAAGTAAAACACAATACATAGCAATGGAATAATGACCTAGTTTCTGTTATGATTATTTACAGGTGGTTTTACCGGCCCATTGAACTTCTACCGATCAGCAATGAAAAGTAATATGCTTACTGTAACAAATGTCCCGAAGATTCAAAAACCCACTTTGATTGTGTGGGGCTGCAAGGACATGGCTCTATGTGAAGAACTTCCAGCACTGGCCAAGGATTATGTCACAAACCTTACCATCCAGTATATCCAGGATGCCAGCCATTGGGTCCAAATGGACACACCTGATATTGTTAATGAGCACATGCGAGATTTCCTTCAGGAAATCAATTAGAGTACATTGACAACCTCTAATTTCACTTCTGAGAAATTAAAACATACATGATTAAGGGATGTATATGACGTAACAGATAAGTGCTACCTATGTCTATGTATTGTGAGTGTAGAACAAGAAGAATTTCCAGGCATTATTATCAGCTTTTTGTTAACCAGAATGTTTAAAATGTCACTTTAGCTTATGTGTTGTAATAAGAACTTTTCCCATGTTTGTCATTTATCTGCCTAGTGTTCCTTTCTGTGCACATCTTCACAGAAGGAAATAACACGGGCTAATGTATTCAAACAGAGTTGAAATGCTGTCAATACTTATAAATGAAAGTCAAGGTCATATATAAACCCATGGAAATGACCTTGGCCAAAAGCGAAGTTCATGGAAGTGAGATAAATAATATGTGTAAGAGAAAGAGGCCCATTTGACATCTAGTGAAGAAATACTTGAATATGATGACATTTTATTTGTTCCATGCCTCAATATGATCCTCCTGCATCCTCTACAGGCTAGTTTTTGAATTCCAATCATGAAAATATATCAGATGAAAATTTTTAAGTTACTGCATATATTTTTGTGGAGTTCAGTTTTCATGGTTTTTCAAAAAATCATTATTTCTTGGATATTTGATTTCATGGTTTAATATAGCTTAATTAATGTCCTTGAATAAATTACAGAGGTATATCTGTTCATGGACATATGAATTCATGGGTAAAGATTACCCAGGAAATCAGTGAAAATAATCTCTCACAAAAATATGTGATGTCACAGTATGTTGGTTGTAACCTTATCAGTAGAAAGTTTTTCATGAAGTGGTGTCAGATGAGATTTTACAAGAGACAAAATGTACTTTGAAAGTAAACTTCTTTTTAGTAAGCCAAAGATAACCAAAGAAATGTTATTGTGTTTTTGTTTTACCTCCATGTAAGACTGTTTTTGCAGAGAGATACAGGTTGTTACTATATTTAGTTTATAATAACCTACAGAAGTATCATCAGTACACTACCTGTGATCAAATCAATTTAAACTCCAGAGTCTTGTTAATCTTCTATATTAAATAAGATTGTATGTTGGTCCCTAAGGTTTCTCTGGTGAGTGAATTAGAGTAAATACGGTGTAATGACTGAATGGATAACTGTCATACCACGGGATCAAGAATTTGATGAATGTCGCAGGGAAATGATGAGGTAGATATAGCACTTTATCATTGAGAGGAGCACTTATGTTTAGTACACAGCCACAGGGAAATGATGAGCAAGATTTAATATGTGCCAGGTATAAATAATTGTTTATTCTTGAGAATGGAAAACTTCATGTATTAAGTTTTGAAAGGAAAAGTACAATGTTGATTGATTTCTTTTTTAATTTGCAAAGTTGCACAAAATGTACCTGAAATATTTGTATGCATTAAGTTGTCAAAATTGTCCGTATTTCTCTAGATTTATATCAGCAGTGAATGGGTTATGTGTTATTTCATTGTTTTGATTTATTTTTTCAAAGAAATGATATCATTTAAAATCCATGTTGAATTTTGTGATTTTAGAAACCTTTCTCATGACTTTTGATAATTTCTTAAATTTGCTTGTGATAATATTGAGTAACATATATTATACACATATTACTGTATGTACAATCTATCGTAGTTGTGTTGTAGTTTACTCTACTGGCTTTAAAGCTAATTGTCATTCTATGGTAACTTGTAATTAACTTTCTTTTTATACATAAATGTCTTCATTGATTAAATAATGATTGAAAAAAAAGTGATGTTTCATGATTTTTTTTCTTACTGCCACTTCTGAAGCGAAGGTAGACCAAATTTTGCATTACAGATGACAATCCATTTAGGTTTCCTTTCAAAAACACTTGAATTTTGGATTGAAATGCTGCATATGATTGGTCCTGTATTTGAATTTTAGCACCTTTATTTCTTCTTCAATTGATGAGTGAGTGCGTGACAACAGAGGTACTAGAAAGAAGCGAGCTTGAGGACAGATGATCAAATGGTTGTTATTTCACTTTGAAATGGTTCTTAGAAATAAGGAAAGTTTGTCAAAATCTAAATATAGAATTAACATGTACTTGTAGCATGACTTTCCAACTCGAGTGTTAAGTACTGAAAGAATATTTCACAACTTGAAGTGTAGGTCCCCTTTTGTCCCTAGTTGTGTCCATTTAGTTTTAAGTATGAATGTGGACGACAAAATTGTGGAAAGACATTTATATTGGATAAAGGAAGATAGCTATGGCACATTGATGAGAAGTACTGGATGGATCTTTCTCAATTTCACATGCCGATTCCCTTTGGTCTCATATTTTGGAACCAGTCAGAAAGAGAAAATGGCTGAAATGCCAAGATGACTTATTGCTATCATGTATGGTTGTGCACCGTTTGCCATCAGTACACTTCTCCTTTAAAACACAACTCCTGTTTAATACCTAGGCAGATTTCAACGAAATTTTGTCTGTAACATCAGCACGGGTTGGCAAATAATTATAAAATTCAGAAATTTGATTGGACCCCTAGGGGTTTGAAGGTGGGGGTGGGGCCCTAAAAGGGGAAATTAGACAACATTTTGCTTCTAAACACTTCTCCTTAATGCATGGGTAGATTTCAACCAAATTTTGTGTGAAACGTTGTTGTAGGTGGGGTTATTATTTATTAGATTCAGAAAGATGACTCAACCCCTAGGGACCTGGGTCAAGCCCCAAATGGGATAGTTGGTCAATATCTTGCTTCCAATTGCTACTCTTTCTTAATACTTGAATGGATTTCAACCAAATTTGATCCGAAACATAATTCAGAGTGGGGAATCATTTCCTCTGTTCATAACTTTGATTTGACCCTAGGAACTCTGGGGCAGGGCCAAAAGAGAGGGAAACTAGACAATATTAGATTCAAAATGCTAATCTTCCTTAATGCTTGAATGCATTTCATTCAACTTTTGTCAGTAACATTAGTAGGGGTTATGCCCCAAAAAGGGAAACTAAATATATTTTGTTTCAAATTGTCACTCTTCCTGAAGGCTTTAATGCATTTACACCAAATATGGTACAAAACATAATTTCTTAAATTCAGAAAGTTGATTTGACTCCTAGTGACTAAGGTGTGGGAAGGCTCTTATAGGTGAAATTATACAATATATTTTGCTTCTAAATGCTATTCCTTCTAAATGCCTTTGGTCCAAAATCCAAGATAACTCATCTAGACCTATTAATCTAAAATATTTGGATTTTGACTTTAAATTTTAAAGAAAAGAAAGAGATGATTTCTGAGCAAAACTTTAACATGGTAACCACAGTAGTTTTTTTGTAGCATAATTGTGCATTTGTTTTTCATGCATAGAACCTACCATTGATGAGTTTCTGATACTTTCAAGAAATTTTCAAAATTTGAATTCATGATTTGTCAGACCACCATCAGCAAATTCTGTGGTTTGTCCATCCATCTCTGATTGTCAGAAGACTGTTTAGGGCCGTGGCCCTCTTGTTTCAAAGAATATACTGGATGGATATTTATCAAGTTTGATATGTAGGTTTCCTTTACTCTTTAGTTGCGCCATTTCAATTTTGAAACTGATCCAAAAACAAATTTACCATCAGGTGACCATCTTAGATTTGATAACTAAAGATTTCTATTTCTTGAGTGGTTTTTCAATTTCATATATAATTAAGAACAGTAAAGAAGGGAAAAGATCAGATTTTAAAAGAAAAGTTATATAAAACAATGGTGGCACCAAGATCCCTCCAGAATCTTTTTATGCTGATAAACTTTTGGACAAATTCTATAAAAGTACTGAATCCAGGTAAAATGCATAGTTTTCTGATTATACATCTCAACTGAATTGTGATTTGATGAATTTTGCCTGTAGTCAAGCCTCAATGGAAGGGGTTGGGGGCAGGATGGGGGAAAGGAAACTGGGGTACTCTGCAAATACTCTCATGGCCCGAATGGTGACCCCATATGTTTTCACGTCTGTTCCTGTAACCAAACCCCAAATGGCAAGGTGAAAGGCAAGTGTGTTAATACAAGTCCACTCGACTGATATATTCTATTCAATCTATATTCTGATTGAACAACAATTATATGATGACAAGATAATTTGATGCAAGATGAACGTTCTGAGATTTATTCAACGTAATAAATCATTTACTCACTAACAATATATATTCAGCGCATAATTCCAAACAGATATTTTAACAATTTAAAAATATTTGAGAATTTAACAACAATGTAAAACCTAACTCAAATATATGTATAATTTTGTATTCATGAGCTATATCATAAAAAGGCCTCCACTCATACTTGTTGGCTCATGCAGTAACAACATTCCATATATAGAACATTTACCATAAATTCATTACTTGTCAAATTTATTTTTGTTAAAAGTGTGTAAACTAATATATCATTTTCAATTATATCCAGTTTAAAAGTATAAATATGTGTCAAATGAAATCATAAAATCAGAATTAATACACATTATTATTAAAATAATGAAGTTTGAGAATTGATTTTTCAATATATGTAAAACTACACTAATGTAAACAATGCACATCAATGTATTTCAGGAACAATGTGAAAAGGGTAATTAAACAAAGGAACTAATGATGCAAGGAAACAACACATGTCCTAAGATGGAAACAAACATCACATTTTCCACCAATGAAATGTAATTTTAAACATTGAATAACAACAATTTTCTACCAAGAGTTGTCCAGGTGTTCCTGGGATTTTTTCACACATGTAATTACACTGTCCTAGCATGTCATGGGTCACAATAAATCCTTGCTCTTTGAGGTCAAAGGTTATACAGTTCATAACATCTTTCTCTGGTGTTGGGATATCCCAGGGTCCTAAAGAAACATCAGCATGCTTGTTTTCTTTGTTTTTCGGTTTGTAAGCACATACATGATTTTTATCAAAATTTGGTAGTTTATTTTTCTTAACTTTAGCAAAAAGTACAATGAAAATATCTGAAGTGGTATCAATAATCTTTTGGTTGGAATCTGTCACAGTGTCCAAAATCTTCACCAAAGCATTTTGATAGCCAGGGAATTGAGTTCTATATGCATCTCTTTGGATTTTTGAAAGCATGCTAGGATAGCGTTCTAATTCCTCTGTCAAGCCAATGAGTCCAAAGTAGACAGCATCACGATAGACAGAATGGACGTGTTGTGCAGGCGGAAGCTCACCGTATCTTAGATAATTCAACACGTGGACAAAAGTATCACCATCGGCATCAATGAAGTATCGCCCGTTTTTGTCCTTTTTGACATCATAATTACCACTAAACATTGCTGCAAGCATGGTGCCTTCCGATTTAATCAAGGTAAGGAGACTAGTTGTAAAATGTCTTCCACCGACATTTAACTCTATTACTGAAGGGAACTGAAAACAGAAAAGTAACAAAAGCGATAATAATAAGATTCCACCCGAGAGTTTTAGATCTTATATCAGAAAGATGATGACACATATCCCATTCCAAGGTTAACTTGATCTAACTTCACAAAGAAGCGAATTGATTATATAGAAGACTAGTTTGACATTTTAATGACTAAACTGTCACCTTCATTTATCTAATGAGGGTGACCATTTAGTCACTGAAACGTCACACTCTACTTCTACTGGTTGTGTCATAAGAACTTCTGTTACATTGACATTACCAACCTGAATGTTGAAAAAAAGATATCTGAGAAATTGACTCTTGACCTTGTGACCTGGATCATGACCTTCTAATCATTTATAGTAAAAAGGGGGAAGTAACTCTGGTAAACTTAGAAAGTGGCGTCCAATGTCAGTTTCTTAGAGCAATGTAAACGCATGTCTGAGTACAAATGCAGGCCTACATGTGATGTTGAATCTAAGATAGTATTGCCTCCGGTGTTACAGACACGGATTTACAATAACAGGCACGGGTATAAGGAATGTAAACAACCATAGTAGTAATTCACTGTCTGCTGAACATTATGCTTAGTTGTAAAGGCTTAGCGGATTGTGGATTTTGACTTCGGTTGTTTACATGTGGTAGCCTACAATGTAGCAATATTTCGAAGTCGTATGCATTTTTTTATGCAAATAAAGATAAAACAGAGCCTTGATGAATTCCAATGAACACTAATATGATATACAGACCTTGGTTTCTTCCGTCATCTCGCAACGTAAACACGTAGGCTTAACATGTAGGTTTGGTTTGTTTACAAACTCATTTCGTGTTAATGCGCATGTGCAGTGACACGAATTGGTGTAAAAATGACACAAGGCTGTCGCAGTTATTTCCCTTGGGCTATCAGGAGAAAAGCGCAACTGTATTGTTGATAAGGCGTGTAATATCACGTGGAAACATATATACACTCGTCCTTTGTAACCATTGGTCGAGTTATTTCGAGAAGCGAAACGGTAACTGATAGTAACTGAATTTATCCCGCTGGATCAACGATACGGGAAATCACATATTTAATCACGCACTTCTACTGTAGTCGCATCAAAATATTGAAGAAGTCCGTGATTTTAACGAGATTTGAAGTGCAATTTTATGCAGTGGCCATCTCATAGATTAAAATTAAGATTTTTAGGCCGCAATAATCAGATTGATGGGGTTTTCAGTCCAATCGCTCTGCGTCCAGTGTCCGTCATTCGTCCGTTCTTAAACAATTCTTGTGAGGAATCATTATCAAATTTTATATATAGGTGCCTAGATTCGCCTGAACGTATTGTCGCTATTTCTTACAAAATACTTTATACGTTTTCCTCATATATAAGTTCCAATCAGTAAGTTTTACCAGTAATTCTTAGAATCACAGAAGCAGTCTTCCTCCATTATAATATAGAAATTCCCATTTGACCCTAGATATGCTCTTTTGGTTTTTAGACTGACTATAATGACAGACAAACAGTCATCTCAGATTTTTGTCTTGAATTTTTGTAATTATTAATTCTTGAAGTGTACTGAATGCATCTGTCCCAAATTCCACATGTATGTCCTCTTGGTACCTAGTCGTGTCGTTTTAAATCTGGGACTGATCAAATAGGACAAAATGACCGACAAGCGACCATCTTGGATTTGATAGTTAGAATTGTTATCATTATTTCGTATGAGGAATTTTTTTAATTTATATAATAATAAACAAACAAACAAACAAAACAAAAAGAAGGAAAGATTCAATTTTTAAAGAAGAAATAAAGACCAAACAATATTGGTGGCCAACATCTCTTGAGTTGTCTTGGTTTATATATATCTATATAGGTAACATTAGGGACGTCTGTTATATCTATGTGACGAGTGTACATTGAAGATCAGCATATGACAAAACACTCGTGGATGTCAAAATAACGGTTTGTTTCCATAGTTACTATTTGAACGCCGACCCAGGTGCGTACGCTTATTTTCCACAATTGTCATAGGGCCGGGGTTCTGACGTTTATCGACGTCGAACCGAAATGATTCTTTATAACATTATACAGTCGAAAGAATATAAGAATTATGTGGAGTGGTTACACAACAATGTAACATACACGACTGTAGATTTACGATCACTTATGTGAAATCAGTATATGATGATGACATGATTAAAATTAAAGAAGATGTAACAAAGTTGTCAATGTATAGCATTATTATGCGAAAATTAAAACAAACGATGAATTAAGCACTGTATTGTGACAAGGCTTTGAAGCACCGATAAGAATCCACGTATGTAATACAGTAAGATCTCGACAGACGTTTTATGCCCATGCGCCGTGAATGGCGTTCTGAGATTTCGTATTCTGATGTGTTCCGTAGTGACTTGTGTTTGTTCCTGGAGAAGTCTTATCTTTTCTGCATTTCCTGAATAATAAAAAGACATTTAAACGTCTATGAAATGATAAAGTAAACACGACGATACTAGCTATGATACGATAAAAGGAAACACATGTATAAATAAAGACGGCTTGAAAAGCAAAAGAGGGTTCAGCCATTTCGCACATTTAGATTCAGAAAGGATAGTAAAACTGATTGGAATATCTTTCCAGATTCTGTTGAAAATGTTGCTAATTTACAGATTGAGAAGGTGGTTCACTGAAATCAGCATCTAATTGAAACCAGACATTCATTAACAAATACCATTATGAAAGTAAGGTCATAAGTAATATGGAAGCTAAATAAAGTAAACACTGACTCCATAGTTTGTCAGTTTTCTGATATTTAGGATTCGTCAGCTGTCCAGAAAACAACACAAAAAGACCAACATGATTGGAACATAATCTTCACCTAAACTAAAATTCAATAACCCTAGGGGAAAACGTGAACAAAAGAAACTAGCGGATTTACACGGAAACTCATGAAAAAGTGAAGAGTAAGCGTCTTATGTTTCATCGATGACACCCACCATGTAAAGCTTGGTCAATCCAAGTAAGTATCGCCACGTTCTTAAATGAAAAAAAACTATTTACAACGACGGAAACAACTAGTAATCTTAAGAGCACCAAACACGCCCAACTTCATTTCACACAAAGAAATAGAATATTTCCCAAAGAGATCACTTTGACGACGGTAAAACTTCCCCATAAATTTCCATCAATCTGCATCGTTTGAAACCCTGTGTTACGAGTTTGTCCGTTAGATGACGACTTCTTGCACGAAATCGTGATACTGGGAACAGGCCATTGAATATCGAATCAACTGCGATACATAAACACCCTAGTTAGGTAATGCAGGATTGTTGCTATCCAGAAATGGAAAATTCACAATAGGGAAATTGAAATCATCACGTTTATCATACAGCTTGGTGAAAAGCTGTCCCTGTTGATTTCTTTACAAGAAAACATCGAGATAAGCGAATGAGAAAGAAATTCAATATAAAACGTGTTCGGAAACACAAATAGAAAAGTCCAAAAAGGAAATGTGGCGGTTAATTTACGAGTAGATTTCCTGATTTATATTTTTTGCCCTAAAGATTTTTCTATTCTTTTCAAAAAGTAAGAATTTATATCTATCTATAAGTAGGTAGATAAAGCTCAATTAAAACGGAATGTCATCATCGCATGAAAGCCTAGGCATACTTACTTTCGGACGAAAAATCCGATCACTGCAGCAGTGGAGAAAACTGCAATACCTCCGCCAACTGCCCCACCAACGATCGCCATATCCATTGGCTGTTAATGTACATGAGCAGTGGATAGAATAAGCTCATATCATCAACCGTCATGAAATAGAGAGACATTATATGTATATGAAATCTCGTTGCTTTCAGAGCTCAAGAATAGCGGTTTGGATAAATTCAATTTTAGTTTAAACAAAATTTTCATTCAAAAGTCAACATTTTAATACACACACATGACAATCTTATATAAAATAAAACAATAACATAGTAATCGAATAATTAGTGTGAAATATATCTGCAATAATTTTGAGCATTTCCAGAACACAATTACCTCGGTAAATATATTTCCGACCAAAGGGCGTGTTGTACTCCGCATACCAACAGGTGGCGATGTGCTAGAAGTTGTTGGAGAAGGGTCTACAGGTGTAGTCTTAGCTGAAGTTTTAGTAACGGTTGTAGTGATGTCCGAGACTGAAATTGGAATTACGGTTGTAAAAGTTGAAAGTTTTGCAGGAGCAGCTGTGGAATTGAGGACCGAAGTGGTGATTGTTGTCATGGTTTTGGTAGACGTTGTTACTTTGACGGGCTTTGTGGTAGCACTGACTGTGGTATTTGTCACGGGTGTAGAAGTGGTGAACATGGGAGTTGAAATGGGAGACGCTGAAGCAGACGTTGTATTCAGAGATATTGCAGTTGTAGTATAAGTTGTTGTGAAAGTTGTATTTGTAGTAGGAGTTATTTTGGAATTTGTAGTTGTGATAGGAGTTGTTCTGTGAGTTGTAGTTGTGATAGGAGTTGTTTTGGAAGTTGTAGTTGTGATAGGAGTTGTTCTGGGAGTTGTAGTTGTGATAGGAGTTGTTCTGTGAGTTGTAGTTGTGATAGGAGTTGTTCTGTGAGTTGTAGTTGTGATAGGAGTTGTTCTGGGAGTTGTAGTTGTGATAGGAGTTGTTTTGGAAGTTGTAGTTGTGATAGGAGTTGTTCTGGAAGTTGTAGTTGTGATAGGGGTTGTTCTGGGAGTTGTAGTTGTGATAGTAGTTGTTTTGGGAGTTGTTAGCGGAGTTGTAGTTACAGCGGATGTTCTAACTGTGGATTGAAGCGTCTCGCAGTGAATTCCTGTAAAAGACAAACGACTTTGTAAAGTACCAGCGAAACATCAAATCTGCCACACTTTATATATCACAGAAGAGAAGGCCCTGAATATGATTTTATTTTATCATATGCCCATGTTTAAAGGGACTTACAAAATTAGTGACGATTTTGGTTTATCGTGATATTAAGAGAGTGCTGGTTTAAATCAAATATGATACTCCCGCGCACGATATATATCGACAGAAAGTAAACTTATCAGAAGTTGGTCATGGTTTTTACCAAACTTTCTCTGCAAAAATGATATTTCTCTCGGACACGTTAAATGTAAACCATTGTCGGAAAAATAGACATAAGTTTATGATTTTTATTAAACAAATGATAGCATTCTATAACTACTTTTACCCAAAAACAATACCACTTAACTCCGGAATGAATGACCCATCCACTGGCCTCACTACCACTTAACTCCGGAATGAATGACCCATCCACTGGCCTCACTACCACTTAACACCGGAATGAATGACCCATCCGGAATGAATGACCCATCCACTGGCCTCACTACCACTTAACTCCAGAATGAATGACCCATCCACTGGCCTCACTACCACTTAACTCCGGAGTGAATGACCCATCCACTGGCCTCACTACCACTTAACTCCGGAATGAATGACCCATCCGGAATGAATGACCCATCCACTGGCCTCACTACCACTTAACTCCGGAATGAATATCCCATCCACTGACCTCACTACCACTTGATTCCAGAATGAATGACCCATCCACTGGCCTCACTACCACTTAACACTGGAATGAATGTCCATTCACTGGCCTCATTACCACTTAACTCCGGAATGAATGACCCATCCACTGGCCTCACTACCACTTAACACTGGAATGAATGTCCATTCACTGGCCTCATTACCACTTAACTCCGGAATGAATGACCCATCCACTGGCCTCACTACCACTTAACTCCGGAATGAATGTCCCATCCACTGGCCTCACTACCACTTAACACCGGAATGAATGACCCATCCACTGGCCTCACTGCCACTTAACTAAAGAATGAATGTCCCATCCACTGGCCTCACTACCACTTAACTCCGGAATGAATGTCCCATCCACTGGCCTCACTACCACTTAACACCGGAATGAATGACCCATCCACTGGCCTCACTACCACTTGATTCCAGAATGAATGACCCATCCACTGACCTCACTACCACTTAACTCCGGAATGAATGACCCATCCACTGGCCTTACTACCACTTAACCCCGGAATGAATGCTCAACCCACTGACCTCACTACCACTTAACCCCGGAATGAATGACCCATCCACACACAGACCTCACTACCACTTGATTCCAGAATGAATGACCCATCCACTGGCCTCACTACCACTTAACTCCGGAATCAATGTCCCATCCACTGGTCTCACTACCACTTAACTCCGGAATGAATGTCCCATCCACTGGCCTCACTACCACTTAACACCGGAATGAATGACCCATCCACTGGCCTCACTACCACTTAACTCCGGAATGAATGACCCATCCACTGGCCTCACTACCACTTGATTCCAGAATGAATGACCCATCCACTGGCCTCACTACCACTTAACTCCGGAATGAATGTCCATTCACTGGCCTCACTACCACTTAACTCTGGAATGAATGTCCCATCCACTAGCCTCACTACCACCTAACTCCGGAATGAATGTCCATTCCACTGGCCTCATTACCACTTAACACCGGAAGGAATGACCCATCCACTGACCTTACTACCACTTAACTCCGGAATGAATGACCCATCCACTGACCTTACTACCACTTAACTCCGGAATGAATGACCCATTCACTGGACTTATTAACCATTGAATCTCCACAAGTTTTAGCATCCTCTAATTCTAGTGTTATTCGGTCAATTTCCCTAACTCAAATCTCTCTCGAAGAACGTTTTCTTTTAGACGCCGAACTTCGATAAAAACCGGATCAAGTTTGCATGGTGGCAACATGACTGGTATCTCATTATTTACAGAAATACTGAAATTAAATCGAATTGGAGGGTAAATATCACTGACCTGTATACTGTGGTCCACATACACACATATAGGAAGCGTTACCATCGACACACGTGGCATTGTTCATACAGCTATTGATGTAACAGTCATCTGTTCGGATGTCACACAGCGGTCCAGTCCAAGCTGTTGGTAGAAAACACACTTTAAATCTTCTTGATTGTCTAACCAAAGATTGCCTCTCCTTAAGGGAAGGACGGAAAAATATCTACTTTCTGAGTAACCTGAGGAAGATATTCTTATCTCTAACCAAGACACTAACCTTGACCATTTAAATATTACCAGCGTCACGAATCCTCCGCAGTGTAGCGAGAAGACTTTAAAATATCCACTAAACCAGAGAGAACTGTTTCTACTTGTATGATCTAATACCATGGATGGTATCAGGTTTACACCTTTTATCTTAGGTTCGCGTATTAATGATCCGTGCGTGTTGATGATTATTGCCGGGTAAGATACCGGGTAGGATATTTTCACTGCAAATGCTGTGATCTGATTGGTCAAATCACGTTTTTTTGAACTGCCGTCGATAAAAAAGGATGCCAACTCGCGTTGTTCACTTCTATTGTTTCCTTACAAAAACTCAAACACACCACTCCCCAATAACAACTGTTTCCAAGTCTGTTAGCCCTACATATTCAGAAGGTTGGGTTCAAGACCAATGTTTTCTTTGAAGGGTTGCAAATGAAGTTTAGGTTTAGTGTATAGCGTCATCAAATATACGGGAAAATTACCCAATTTTATTCCAATGAAATTTGCATGTTACAATTAAAATTCAATTATTACCTGGAAGACAGACTATATCTCCGTTTGAGTCGCACGTATAACGGCCGGGGACGTCCTGACAGTACTTGGTGCAGTCTCCGTAGTAAAACACATCACAAGCAAAGCTCAGTATCACGTCCACTCTGCAAACAAAATGATTAATGACGATGGTTTTGATGGTATCACGTGTTTCTGAGCAATGAAAGGAAAAATAAAGTAATTGGCTTTTGAACCTTAAAATTGTCCATATGAATGTGTAGTTATCATTGCTTCAATCAGACAGGACTTCCCTATGTAATCAAATGAACGTTGTCAAAGGAGAAGTGGTTGTCCGAGATGTGTGTTTTCAAATGTGATGCCAGTTGTATTGTACATTAGCAGCTGGCGGACGAACTGTCAGTAAAGTGTAGATTAAAATGATGATTAAATCTATGTTCGTTTGAGGGAGTCGGATTAGAACATATCATACCTGATTTGGCCGCCAGTCAGAGTTTGGGTGTTTGGCGTGGCTATAGATCCGTTCCCCAGGATATCTGTGTACGATGTTTGTATAGTTCCCATTAAATCGTCTGTGGTATCTAACCAAGTATCATCATCATCATAGCCAACTATACCGATAGATACTCCTTTCTGTAGAAATAAACATTATACAATAATAGAGTCAGTGTTTTCAATTCTTTCTAAAAATTTTTAATAATTCCATCGACTGCGGTGTATATCTGTCGATATGGAAGTAGATAATGTAACATCTGTTTTTATAGAAGGTAATAAAGCCATTGTTTCAAACCTTGATAAATTTTGTAAGAAAAGAGAGGTGTATCTTTATACATGTTTGTTATTTCTTAGCGACACAATTTGTTCACAAAATGTCAATCAGGCTTCACACCTGGGGATTCTGCAACAAACCAATTATCAGAAATTATAAATGATATCGGGAGGGCATGGAATGAGGGCAAAGAATCGACAGCTGTATTTTGTGACGTAAGTAAAGAATTCGATCGAGTTTGCCATAGGGGTCTTATACATAAGTCTAATTAATCGGATATGTCTGGGAAATTATTAATTCGGTGTGAAAATCGTTTATCTCGTAGAAGTTAAAGTGTTGTTATAAATGAACCTCCTACAGAGCCCCAAATGTTCAAGGTCCCCCTTTCTTCTTGGTATATATTAATGATATAGTGAATTTCATTTATTGTAAATTAAAACTGTTTTCATATGATACTGGCTTGTACATACGTGTATTAGTTGAAAATCCTACAGTCGCTGTTAGTACTAACAATTAGGATATTTCAAGAATACATACCTGGTCCAATAAGTTGTTAGTACAGTCGCTGTTAGCACTAACAATAAGGATCTTTTAAGAATACATACCTGTTCAAATAAGTTGTTAGTACAGTCGCTGTTAGCACTAACAATAAGGATCTTTTAAGAATACATACCTGTTCAAATAAGTTGTTAGTACAGTCGCTGTTAGCACTAACAATAAGGATCTTTTAAGAATACATACCTGTTCAAATAAGTTGTTAGTACAAGCGCTGTTAGCACTAACAATAAGGATCTTTTAAGAATACATACCTGTTCAAATACATTGTTAGTACAGTCGCTGTTAGCACTAACAATAAGGATCTTTTAAGAATACATACCTGTTCAAATAAGTTGTTAGTACCGTCGCTGTTAGTACTAACAATACGGATCTTTTAAGAATACATACCTGTTCAAATAAGTTTTATGTGAAGTTTAATCCAGACAAGACAGAATCCTTATTAATGAATAGGAAAACTTTACAAGAAATGTTTGATTCTATGTCCATGAACCATATTAATGTATCTAGAGTGAGATATCGTAAGTGTATGTTTGTCAGATGACATGTAATAACTGATTATATGGTTTAAAAAGTGGTACCATGACTAGTTGTATAAAGAAATTTAAGTACTCTTGATAGGAATTTTCTTAAAATAACAAATTTTGCTTTTATTAGACCTATTTTAGAATTTTCTACTATTGTTTGGATAATTTACCAAACTATTCAGGTTAAAATCTAGAAAACATCCCGATAGAAGCTCTGAGAATAGTCACTTGTGCTACAAAACTATCAAGTTTAAGTTTATTGTATAAATATGTTAGGTAGGAAATACTCTATATAAAAGAATGAACAATCATGAAATTCTACAGTTGTAGGAAATGAATCGTAAGAAAACTACATGTTCTGTGCCAAATGTAATCCCTGATGAAGGATCAGACGGTCATACACATACTTCAAGAAAGTCGATTAATTTACTCTCAATAAATTGTAGAACTCAATTTTACGATGACTCGTTTTAAAATTATTCAATACAATTCGAGAGAATACATTACATGTAAATGTTCGAAATTATCTGTCCATCAGTATGATTGATAAAATCATAAAAAACAAAGTAATGATTCCTTGATATTTTATCACTGGAAGTATACATCTTCAAATTTTACATACACGATTAATACTAAAATGTAGTAATTTCAAACAACTCTTTTATATAGAGAATTTAGAGGAAAGTCCATTGTGTACATGCGGATTAGTCCAAAGAACTCAACGTTTTTCACTATCTCGTGACAATTATATCGCAATCAGACAAACCTATGTTATTAAAATTAGATATTTGAGGAAATGATACTTACTCAAAGCAGAAAAACGATGAGATATTTTTACCGTCCAAACTTATGTAAAACTAAGTAAGCAGTTTAGCTACCTTTTTAACATACATGGATTGATAATTGAAGGCATCATAATTCACCACATGTATATATGTTTATTGTTTAACTTAATTGTTATTCCATACATGTAGGGTGTTTCCATCCCCGAAGAATTATTTACTTTCATATGTATTAGGGAGAGGAATTAGTATCAGCTTTAAGCTTGATTTCCTATCTAATAAGTATTATAATGCATGTGTTAAATGGTTGATTATTGAATAAAATGTTGTCACGTTTTGCAATTAAACTTATGTGTCTTTTCTCAACTGCATGATATGTGTGTTTGGTAACTATCTGATTTCGGTGACTATCTGACTTTGGTGACTATCTGATTTCGGTGACTATCTGACTTTGGTGACTGACTTTGGTGACTATCTGATTTCGGTGACTATCTGATTTTGGTAACTATCTGATTTTGGTGACTATCTGATTTTAGTGACTATCTGATTTCGGTGACTATCTGATTTCGGTGACTATCTGACATTGGTGACTATCTGATTTCGGTGACTATCTGACTTCGGTGACTATCTGACTTCGGTGACTATCTGATTTCGGTGACTATCTGACTTTGGTGACTATCTGATTTTGGTGACTATCTGACTTTGGTGACTATCTGATTTCGGTGACTTTCTGACTTTGGTGACTATCTGATTTTGGTGACTATCTGATTTCGGTGACTATCTGATTTTGGTGACTATCTGACTTTGGTGACTATCTGATTTCGGTGACTATCTGACTTTGGTGACTATCTGATTTTGGTGACTATCTGATTTCTGTGACTATCTAATTTTGGTGACTATCTGATTTTGGTAACTATCTGATTTCGGTGACTATCTGATTTCTGTGACTATCTGATTTTGGTGACTATCTGACTTTGGTGACTATTTGACTTCGGTGACTATCTGATTTTGGTAACTATCTGACTTTGGTGACTATCTGATTTCTGTGACTATCTGATTTTGGTGACTATCTGATCTCTGTGACTATCTGACTTTGGTGACTATCTGATTTCTGTGACTATCTGATTTTTGTGACTGATTTCGGTGACTCTCTGATTTTGGTGACTATCTGATTTTAACAAACCTGTTGTAAGTTATTCACTGACGCTGATTAGAGCACAGATATCTTAAAATGTCTTTCTCATAGGTGTTTAGCTATCATATAACCTTGTCTTGTTTCGTTGCAGGAGGCTGCTATCATTTACTGAGTTCACTGGAATTTCTATTTTCATGTCTGATGTTGTACTATCAACACCCAAGGAAAAAAAACCATTTTACGTTTTGTTATCATACTCCCGTATTTGCATGTGGACATCTAACGCGCGGAGAACACACTATTCCTTACATACTGACTGACTGAATTAATATATTTTATGAAGAATGACCATCCTGAAATTTTAAACGAGTTTAATCGCCATTATTACCCTACCATCGTAGAGCTCACGAACTTTTCATATATGATATTTGCTCAATACCCTCTGTTCATAATGACAAAAGAGACTGAATTACCCCCTAAAGCTTGATAACAAATGTCACCGGCATTGGTTTTTGATTTACGACACTGTATGGATTAGGATGCAGTCAGTCCGCTCAGAGCTTGAGTTCAAATTTCAGAGTAAGTTACTTAATGTTAGGAGTGTTAACACGTCCAGTTAATTTGTTGCGAAGTGTTAACATGTCCGGTTAACATGTCAGGTTAATTTGTCGTGGAGTGTTAATATGTCCGGTTAATTTGTCGTGGAGTGTTGACATGTCCGGTTAATTTGTCGTGGAGTGTTAACATGTCCAAGTTAATTTGTCGTGAGTGTTAACATGTCCGGTTAATTTGTCGTGGAGTGTCAACATGTCCAAGTTAATTTGTCGTGGAGTGTTAACATGTCCGGTTAATTTGCCGTGGAGTGTTAACATGTCCGGTTAATCTGTCGTGGAGTGTTAACATGTCCGGTTAATCTGTCGTGGAGTGTTAACATGTCCGGTTAATCTGTCGTGGAGTGTTAACATGTCCGGTTAATCTGTCGTGTAGTGTTAACGTGTCCGGTTAATTTGTCGTGGAGAGTTTACATGTCCGGTTAATCTGTCGTGGAGTGTTAACGTGTCCGGTTACTCTGTCGTGGAGTGTTAACGTGTCCGGTTAATCTGTCGTGGAGTGTTAACGTGTCCGGTTAATTTGTCGTGGAGTCCGGTTAATTTGTCGTGGAGTGTTAACGTGTCCGGTTAATTTGTCGTGGAGTGTTAACGTGTCCGGTTAATTTGTCGTGGAGTGTAAACATGTCCGGTTAATTTGTCGTGGAGTGTGAACATGTCCGGTTGATTTGTCGTGGAGTGTTAACATGTCCGGTTGATTTGTCGTGGAGTGTTAACATGTCCGGTTGATTTGTCGTGGAGTGTTAACATGTCCGGTTAATTTGCCGTGGAGTGTTAACATGTCCGGTTAATTTGTCGTGGAGTGTTAACATGTCCGGTTAATTTGTCGTAAAGTGTTAACATGTCCAGTTAATTTGCCGTGGAGTGTTAACATGTCCGGTTAATTTGCCGTGGAGTGTTAACATGTCCGGTTAATTTGTCGTGGAGTGTTAACATGTCCAGTATTATCTACCGATATCACTTACTGATATATTCTTCTTCTACCATTAGAATATAAACATCAGCTATTATGTAAACGACCTATCGTTGCGGGACTGGCGTACGAGCAGCCATGAATTTCACTTTACAATACATTCTTTACATATCAAAATGGATGACCTAGACAACAGTGTTTATTTATTACACGAGAGGTCTTACCTCAATGATAAAGGTGAGTGGGTTGCTTAGTCCACCTACGCTGTTACCAAATGTAATCTGGTCAGTGTTGTCGTAAATCCTTGTCTTTCCTTTCCCATATTTACAATTTCTGCAAAAGAGTTCATTAAGAAGCAAAGTTTAACATCTTAGTGTACTTGTGAAATAATCCGTCTAAACACAAAAGACAAATAAAGCGATGGACTCGGGTAATTATCCGGCAGGAAGTGCGGAAATCGGAACAGAAGAAAGAAGAAATAGGAGGAAGAGGGGTGTTGGGGGTGTTGGGGGGGGGGGGGGTGTTGGGGGGGGGGGGGGGGGGGGTTAGTATCAAAGGATATCCGAAGGAAACAAAAGATATGATATGTTGATATGTTCATGAACGTAATGGCAAGTCGTCAGGGGAAAATCTGGAGAAAATGTTGGACATGTGAAATCTACAGTGTTTGTTAAATAGTCGAACAGTATTAAGTACAGTGACACCAACCGTGTCGTATACCACAAAACTAATTATAAGTACCCATAGTAAATTATGCCGAGGGCTCTGATGTTTTCAACCTTTCTCCTGTATTGTATCGTATACTGTTAATTGAACAAATAGGCTCGTGAGTAGTCGTTGGTATATCTATCTAGTATACATAAATATTTACATACGGCTTTTAATTAACGTTATCACCACGGGTATGAAGACAAATATATTCAGACGTATTTGAATCCAGTAAATTGAGCAAAACGAGGTGCATTTTGTTTTAATAGATTGTGAAGGATGTATTCTTATAATCTTTGTCAAATATTGATATCAATTACAAAAATCATTACGCGCACAATTATTACCTTAATTTTGATACTGAGGTTTTAGACAGAATACAATAGAAATAAGTTGTTTTGTTTTAACTTTTTTTTATGAAGGAGTTAGAGGAAAACTTTGGAATATTGTAAAACCTTTATATGAAGGTTTAAAAATTTCTGTTAGGTATAAGTCTGAGTTGTCGGGTTGTTTTTCATGTTCACGAGGCTGAATGCAAGGGGATGAGCTATCTCCATCTCTATTCCATGTATGTAGATGACTTTGAAAATTAATTTATCAATACTTCCTGTAAAGCTTTATAATAAGAGATATTTCTTTGTCTCTCCGTAGACATGGTGCGAGCTTGAAAACAAAACTATTTTAATGGCTATGGAATAGAAATTGTTGACTTTTTTAATTACCCGCTGTTGCGCAAAAAAATGCATGTATAATGTATTCAGAATTTATGATAATTAATCACTCAGTGTAGAATCTGAACTCAATGTTTTGATATGTGTCTTCACTGTTCTTAATTATGGTTGCGAAAATACAAGAAGAATCCTGAATATAAAAAAAAAAACCAGTACGCTATATTTTATGGCATACTTTGAATTAGGACGCCTGTATTTGAATATCATATGAAATGTCACATCATTAAATATAGGATGAAACTACTTGAATGTGATGATTGTGTCCATCAGTAAACTCACGGAGAAATGAATGTAAGTCCAGAAACTGTAATTGGCGTTGTCAAGTTAGGACATGTTTGTTGTCTTCTGGTTTTGAAAATGTCTGGTTGTTCCACATTTGATATATGGTTTTAACAAGGAATGATTTTGTCAAAATGCTTTTCGTTTTTATATAGAGGAAGGTTGGTATCGTAATATTCCGAGGGAGAATAGGTTATTTCAGTTTTGTAACCAAAACCAGGTAGAAAACAAGTTCCATTTAGTTCTGATATGTCCACTATACATAGATATTCGTAAACGTTCATTGAAAGTATTACTGGAGCCGTCCATCTTCATATAGATTTGTCCAGCTGCTATCTGTACGTAATAGAAAGGAACTTTTTTAACTTAGGAAAATATCTGCAATCATGTTTTTTAGCTCGTTCTAGATTCCAACTTTTTAAGTTATTGTATTTTACTTTTATTTACATTATATGAGTGTTTGTCTACAACATTTTCTATATTTTTACCGTTAATCCCTGACTACACCACTCTATACATATTGTTACCGTCCATCCCCTGACTACACCACTCTATACATATTGTTACCGTCCATCCCCTGACTACACCACTCTATACATATTGTTACCGTTAATCCCCTGTCTAAACCACTCTCATATATTGTTACCGTCCATCCCCTGACTACACCACTCTATACATATTGTTGTTACCGTACACCATCCATATTGTTACCTGACTACACCACTCTATACATGTTGTTACTCCATCCCTTGACTACACCACTCTATACATATTGTTACCGTCCACCGTCCTCCTGACTACACCACTCTATACATATTTTTACCGTCCATCCCCTGACTACACCACTCTATACATATTTTTACCGTCCATCCCCTGACTACACCACTCTATACATATTGTTACCGTCCATCCCCTGACTACACCATTCTATACATGTTGTTACCGTCCATCCCATGACTACACCACTCTATACATATTGTTACCGTCCATCCCCTGACTACACCACTCTATACATGTTGTTCATCCCCTGACTACACCACTCTATACATATTGTTACCGTCCATCCCCTGACTACATCACTCTATACATATTGTTACCGTCCATCCCTTGACTACACCACTCTATACATATTGTTACCGTCCATCCCCTGACTACACCACTCTATACATATTGTTGCCGTCCATCCCCTGACTACACCACTCTATACATATTGTTACCGTTAATCCCCTGACTACACCACTCTATACATGTTGTTACCGTCCATCCCTTGACTACACCACTCTATACATATTGTTACCGTCCATCCTCTGACTACACCACTCTATACATATTTTTACCGTCCATCCCCTGACTACACCACTCTATACATATATTGTTACCGTCCATCCCCTGACTACACCATTCTATACATGTTGTTACCGTCCATCCCCTGACTACACCACTCTATACATATTGTTACCGTCCATCCCCTGACTACACCACTCTATACATATTGTTACCGTCCATCCCCTGACTACACCACTCTATACATATTGTTACCGTCCAACCCCTGACTACACCACTCTATACATATTGTTACCGTCCAACCCCTGACTACACCACTCTATACATATTGTTACCGTCCAACCCCTGACTACACCACTCTATACATATTGTTACCGTTAATCCCCTGTCTAAACCACTCTACATATATTGTTACCGTCCATCCCCTGACTTCACCACTCTATACATATTGTTACCGTTAATCCCCTGACTTCACCACTCTATACATATTGTAACCGTCCATCCCCTGACTACACCACTCTATACATATTGTTACCGTCCATCCCCTGACTACACCACTGTATACATTTGCATACCCTGTTCGAGCCTTTATTTGATAATGTTGATAGTAAATGTTGTCACTGCACTTTATGGTTCTAGTCTAGCCTACGTGTTCCTTTGTAAAGTCACTTTACAGTTATGTAAGGTAACTAAACAAGGACTGTCCATCTTCCGTTAATTTGTACATCTTGTACATAATAATGATATAGAACAATGTTATTCTTTATACATGATGATAAAATGTCTTTGTATTTCATATAACTTTTGTAACTTATGTGTCAATTATATTTTGTTACATAAGTTTATGAGCCGTAAGTCCTCATGTTAACAAAGTACAAGGAGAATTCCGGAAGGGTAAACGTCTTCTTCTTCATCGACGACACGCCATATAGATCTTGGTCAATCAAGATAAGTGATGTCACGTTCTCAAATGAGAACAATGTGTACAGCTAGGAACGAGCCGGACCAACACGCAACAAAAACGCATTAATCGGTCACAACAGAGAGTGAAGAGAATTGTATATTGCAAGTGGGAACAGCGGAGGAAAGTCTAGAAACCAAGGTATATATGTCAGACAAGAGGAAGTGGCTGAAATCTGAGGAAAGGAAATAGTTACAAAGGACAAACCGGAAAAGAAAAGTATGGAGGGCTAGTTGAAGGTTTTGAAACTTATTGCTTTGGGCTAATTGGTTTTGACTAAAGGAAATAAACAGGGAAGATATCGGCCTGTCAGAATCTTATTTAAAGCTCGAGTGCGATAAAACAAGGACATAGCCTGAACAAAAAAGGATTTAAAAGGAGCATCCATAAAAATACAAGGAGAGCAAGACCAGACGTTCCAAAAGGGTAGGTATTTTCTACTTCATCTACGACACCTACCACGTAGATGTTGGTAAATTCAATTAACTACCAATCAAGCTTATAAATAGTAAGCATAGGGTAGTATAGTTTTATTCATTGTTTTTGCGAACATAATAGAGAAGAAATATAAAAAGAAATATGTCTTTTTGCGGACATTCTAACAGCACGCAAAACTATGCTTACCCAGAAGGAGGTTCCTGGTCAATGCATATCTCGAGATAGGGATCGCACTGCCCTGAGCCGCAAGCAGTGGAGAAAACGCTCTCACAGCATTTACCGTCGTCATCCTTGAATGTTGGGTTGCTATACTGTACAAACTGTATTGTTCCGACTCCCGCCCCTCCGGTGGTAGAAAACTAGGAAAAATTGCCCGGTATGAAAACGGTGTGTTAATTTTGTATAAATACAGGTACTAAATTTTAGTCAAATAATTACTCACGTGACAGGTGTTCTTGTTGTCATATGATGGATCAAGTCTTGTGTAACTATTACATGTGTCTTGTGTAACCATTACAGGTGTCTGGTGTAACCATTACAGGTGTCTGGTGTAACCATTACAGGTGTCTGGTGTAACCATTACAGGTGTCTTGTGAAACCATTACAGCTGTCTTGTGTAACCATTACAGTTGTCTGGTGTAACCATTACAGGTGTCCGGTGTAACCATTACAGGTGTCCGGTGTAAACATTACAGGTGTCTTGTGTAACAATTACAGGTGTCTGGTGTAACCACTACAGTTGTCTGGTGTAACAATTACAGGTATCTGATGTAGCCATTACAGGTGTCTGGTGTAACCATTACAGCTGTCTTGTGAAACCATTACAGCTGTCTTGTGTAACCATTACAGTTGTCTGGTGTAACCATTACAGGTGTCTGGTGTAACCATTACAGGTGTCTAGTGTAACCATTACAGCTGTCTGGTGTAACCAT